GGTGATTGGAAACCACTTTTCAAAGATTCAGAATAAATAAAAGGTGTGATGCTCAAACCACACTTCACAAACTTGGCCGTCTCAGAGGATCAAAAAAAGAGCCACAGATTCCAAGCAGGTGGTGAACGCTATGGCCCACCCCCAGAAAGGCCCCGTCTGCACCTACAGACAACGGCAGGGGCCGCACGATCAGAACATCCTTGCAGAGAACGGACAGGGTTCTGCCCTGGAGGAGCTTCCAGAATCTCTGAAGCACACTCCTGGGAGTCCCTCTAAGCCACCCAACCTCATTCCAGCCACACTTTGTCCTTATACTTTCATGGCAAGAAGCTGTCACGGCCCCCCACGGGACACCCCTGAATAGTGGCCTTGGCCACCATGTCTCTCAGCTACACACCACCCCCGGCTCTCTAGGACACAGGTGAATTTGCACAAGATGTGCAAAGCGACTTTTTAGGTGACGGCTAAAACCCAGTTGGCAAACACAGGCTCTGTGAAGGTATGGGCATCCCACCTCTGTCTGTAGAATGCGTGGGGGTGGGAGAATGTTCCATCCCAGACTAATTGAATCTGAATGGTGTCACAGCAAGGACACACACAGTCAGGAAAAGAAATTCAATTTCCTTTTGACCTGCAATTAATTTTCAGGAAAAAATCGCTTTATCACCTTGTCTAAAGATGAGCTTCTAGCCCAGCACCTTATGCTTTCAGAAGGGGTCCCCGTCCTTAGTTGAGTCAGGGAGACACCGCGCCTCCCCTGGGAACCAGGCCAGGAACAGGCTTTCACTGGGAACCTCGCTGGCCTTGAGGACATCCGGTCAGCTGGCTGCCCAGGGGACAACTCCCGCCCTCTGTTCTTCCTCTAGGAATGCAAGGATCTTGCAAGCCTGGGGCTGGTCCAAGCATCGCAGAATTATCGCAAAACAACGGCACCGCTCGGCTGGAGGCGCCGCTCAGCCACGGCCGCCCACCCACGCGTTAGCCGTGAGCGTGGGTCACTGTGGGCGGCGGCGGGGTCCTGCTCACCCACCCTCGGGCAGGATCTGTGGTTCTGGGCTCTGACCCTCATCATTTTCCGCGTATCCCTCGTGACCCGGAGGCCTTCCCGATGACTCAGACACACATATTCCTCTCCTGCATCTGGTTGGCTGGCATCCAATTATCTCCCATAAAGGCTTGGCCCCGAGCTCCGGGCCCAGCATCGCAACATTGACGGAACCGGTGTCAACACATGACGATATTATTTAGGAGAATATGAAATTCCCCCTGGATCCAGAGAGCATGCAGGATATGGACAGACTTACAGGACAGGCCAGAAAAGATTTTGGTCATTGTCTAAACTTTGTGCTACAGATGGGGAAACTGAGACCCAGAGAGGTGGTCCCACAGAGGCCGGGGCAGGACCAGAAACCAGGCCTGCTGGCCCCCAGCTCTGCTGGGCGCTGAGGTGATGGCGCTCCCGGACCCCCGGATCCCGGGCTGACCCGGTTCCCGCCTCCCCGCCTGCCTGTGAGGCCACCTTGTGTGGGGGCCAGGGCGGTGGCCAGCGCAGGTCCCATGGCCCAAGTCCTGCTGGCCGCTGACTTCCCCATCCCTCTCGCCGGCCAGTGGATGGGAAGGCCTTTGTGCCCCTGGCCTGGACCGTCTGGGAACTTGTGTCTTGGGTCACTGTGAGGTCGGCAAAAACCGTAACACGGACACAAAGGAGCCACAGTCTAGCCTTTGGGGCCCTCGGGAGAAGGCGCGGTCGCCAAGGCAGGACTGGAGTCCCCCTGCGAACGTCTTCCTCTTCACCCCCACGTCAGCTGCTGAGCAGTGGCGGCTCCTCTCACCGCCCAGGCCCTCGCTCCGACGCAGGCTGGGCTAGGGCTGCAGCGTCCTTCCCGTCCCCCAACCTCAACTAGGCTGTGAGCCTGTGGAGGGCCAGGCCCGTGTCTTCCAGCCCAGAGCCCTGACCTGGCAGGCTCCCAGCCAACACGTCCAGAATTAATTCTAGGGAGAGCGTTGGGGAGCTCGGCACTGGGATAGAGCCTTCAGTTTGGAAGGGATGCTGGAACTCAGCTGGGCATCCAGATTGGCCATGTATGAGCCGACGGGCCAAATCCCTCAGGTAGCGACTGGCCTTGGACAGCTCTGTGCTTCTCCCCGACCCTGCCCCAAAGGCCTCGGGGACAGAAAATACCAAATGACTGCTGAACGGCCAGGAAGGCTGGGACCACGTCCCTGGGATGCCTCTGTCTCTGGGTTCTGAGGAATGTGTCATAGGTCAAAAATCAGAGTCACAAAAGGCCCACCAGCGAGGCAAGCCCACCACAGGGTTATTCCAAGGAGAAAAAGCAGCCCAACCACATGTCCTGCTCAGCGGAGAGGATGACCCGACGTTCAGAGTGGTTCTCAGGCAGTATTTCAAGGAACAGGAAAACTATCACAGCAACTGAGTAAGAGAACAAGGCCGAACGTGCAAACTATATACATGGGATGACCTTGCTTCTGTTTTAAAATTTACAGGCAGAGATTAGGGAGAGAAGATGGAAGCAAGTACACTGTCAACCTTGGCTTTCTCTCTGGTGGAATTAGAGGGGTTTTTGTTTGTTCTTATTTTACTAATATTCCCTATTTATAGTGAAACCACCCATCAACTCTTCAGCCAGACTCTGTGGCAGGTGAGAAAGGGAAGTCTCAGAGAGGTCAAGGGTCACGCCCAAAGGGGTCATGTCAGTGGTGAGGTCTGCACCCAGGCCCTGCACACTGTGTACTGTGGCTGGAAACAGAGACACGAGCAGTAAGGTGCTTTTGACTAAACCAGTAAAGCCGGTTCCAGAGGAGGAGGCGGAGAGAAGCAGCCCGTGTATGTCCTGCACCCCACGTATCCCACCCCTGTGCCTGTTACCCCACGCAGGAGTTCATCCTGGAGTCTGACCTCTGCTTCCACCGGCCAGAGCCCCGGCCCAGCCCGGCTCCTGGAGGCCAAGGTGCAGCCAGACGGCCGTGGGCCAGGCCTGGGGCGGCAGCCAGGGCCGGGAAGGGTCAGCCCCCATTGCAGCCCGTTGTCCAAGACTAAGGCCCAGGTGCCTCGCTGCAGCGACCCTCAGCTGGCAGGGGAAGCGCTCCCACCTGGTCCTCTCCCACACAAACCCCGGAACCACACACAGGCTGAGCCAGCGCCAAGCTCCCAGCTCCCCCTCCCACTTCACAAGTCAGGACGCCGCCCCAGACAGGGCTGGGCGCTGCATGGACCCCACGGGGGCCGAGAGGGCCAGGGCTGCAGTCGGGGCGGGCCAGACGCCACTGTGGCCTGGGGTGGAGCTGTGCCATTCCCTCAAAACGCACGCCCTCTCTGGTCCCGGCAGGCAGCTTTGTACCAAGCAGGCAGGAAGCAAGCTAGACAGAGACATCCCCAGTTTCCTGCCCCCCAGCACAGCCTCCAGAGAGGGAAAGCAGACCAGAGCCGGGCCAGCGCTCCTCGGCTCTGCAGAGCTGCTTTTATCTAGTTTCTCCTGGCAGCCTCCTTTCTGATGTCATTGAAACATTGTTTACTTGCTTAACGGGACCCAGATTCCTCTGACCTCCAGCCCCTCTGCAGGCCAGGATCACAAACATCCCTTAGCACTTTCCCCCCCAAACCCCCCAGATGAACACGAAGGAAGTAGAAGAGGGGGAAGTGCCCCTGAATCCGGCTGTCTGTCCACCCACCCCCTCCTTAAGGCCACCTCCGTGTTACTGACATATTCATGCGCTTTTTATGTTTCATTAGCTGGGGGCGGGCCTGGGCAGTCCATCCAACTTCTCTGAGCTCAATTCAGGGAAACATCCGTCCTGGGGGTAACATTTCCTACGTCGGGAGCTGCTGTAAGACCTCGTTCAACGCACCTGGCTGTGACTGCACACCTGCTAACAGGGCAATCACAGAGCAGCACCTCCTCCCCTGCCCCACCCCCTCTTCCCCTGCCATGGCAGTGCTGCCTCTGTGTGGCCACGTCTGGACACAGTTTTGGTTGTCACATCTGGGGGTGCTCCTGGCATCAAGTGGGTGAGGCCAGGCACGCTGCTCCACACACTGCGATGACCGGGATGCGCCCCCTGCCCCGCCAGAATATCTGTTCCAAAACGTCACCGACAGTGCTGAGGCTGGGAAGCCCTTGCTAGAACCTTCCACACTGTCGTGAGTGTTAAGCACTAAGGACTCGTGAGTCACATGCTTTGTGCCTGGCGCCTCGCGAGCCCTCGGCTGGCAGCGGCTGAGGTCACCTTGACCGCCTTCTCCTCACCTTGCCCTCGGGAAGTCAGGGTGGAGAACACGATGCTCATTTTCCTAAAAGGACACAACGGCCCAGGAGTAGGGCCTGACCAGAGCTGGACCCGGGACCCCGGCCCCAGGGTCTCTGAGGACATTGAGTCCGCTGCGGCCCTGATACTGTCCACAGTCTCAGAAGCTTCCGGTCCTGGGACCCGGCCTTCTGGAGCTGGGGGAAGGGCAGGGGCTGCTCCCCGGGGCCTGGCGGTGCACCCCGAGCGGCCCCTCCCCTCTCCCGCAGTGCGGGGGGCTGGGAAGGGGGAACACTCCAGAGGACAGGCCGCCTCCTCAGGACACGCAGACCTCCGGAGCAGCGTAATTGCTTGGCTGTCCCCAGCGCTGTCATCTCCAGGGAGGCGCAGGAAATGCCCTGATCTGGGAGGGCGTGCCCTTGCCTCCGAGGAGCGGACACTGGGGGCGGCTTCACAGGTGGCAAGTCCCTGGCAGAAGCTTGGGACTGAGCCCCTCAGCGTGCGCCAGACACCGGGTGGGGGGCACAGGTGATACCTGACTTTGACCCCCGTTCCTCGTCTGAGGCCCTAACAGCCTGCGGGCAGGACATGTGGTCCCCACTTCACAGTAGGGAACCAGGGTCCAGGGAGGTCCACAGACGTGCCCAAGGGCACACGACTCCCAAGCCCCGGGTTTGTTCCCTTGCAGCTGCTGCCCCCTACAGCCCAGGGGACAGCGGCCAGGTGGTACCTACCAGGTGCCCGGCGGCTCTCACCAGCTTGTGAGTGAACAGCGGGAAGGCCTCATTGCTCAGGTCTGCATCGAGCACTTCCTGGAGAATGGCCCGGCTGTAAGCGAGAGCAAGGTCGGTCAGTCAGTCGGTCAACAAACACCTGCCCAGCCCTCCTGGGTGTGTGGCCTGGCTGGAGACGCACTGGGGACACAGCAGTGAGGAGGACGGGGCCCTGTCCTCACGGGGCAGACCGCCAACAAACATGCTAGTAATAAAACACACCAAGAGGGAGACGCACCCCAAATCCAGTCAGATAAGAAAGGCACCTTCATCAGAGCAGGAACAACCAAGCCCTGGGCAGAGACACGACTCAGAGATGGGCGCTCGCAAGCTCTCCTTTCTCAGATGGGGGAACCAAGGCCTGGCAGTTATCTAGCCAGCTAACGCCCCTCGTGCCACAGGCCCCCGAGGGCAGGGCCCGCCCTCCTCAGCTCCCCTGCCCTGCTGGCCCGGCAGTCTGGCTCTCATGCTGGACCTCTCGGTGTCCGTGGAAACCTTCAGTTCCTGGGCACCGTGCCCCCTGCCTCCCTCCAGGACTTAGTTGACTCTTGCTCCCCTGCATGTTTCCACCGGGTGCCCTGGCCCCAGTTTAAAGTTTTGTTATCCTTCAGGGTTGGCGCATCCGTCACCTCCTACAAGAAGGCCTCCCTGGTTCCCTGAGTCTGGGTCAGGTTCCCGCCCCCCCCCCCCCCCCCCCCCGCCCCCCGTCTGCGCTCACCGCCCTGATATGTCTCCTGCCCGGGTACCTCTCACACTGGTTGTATTGATACTTGCCCCCACTGAACCAGGAGCTCTGTGCCAACAGGGCCCCTATGCCTGGCACAGAGAGGACAACTGGTAAATAGGGCTGATTGAAAATGGGCTGGCTTTGCACTGCAGGGCCAGCTCCCCATCGGCAGGAGACAGCCCCACCATTTCTGCCTCGCAGGGGTCCCAGCCAGTGCCCAGAAACGCGTCTGAGGCGAATCCCCAGCCCCACGGTGCCGGGAGCTGCCCGCCCACGCCTGCCCGAGGTGCCCAGCGTGCTGCAGTGTGTCAAGATCCTTATGTAACACCCCGGCGCCCACGTGGCGCCAGCCCCCGGAGAACCCACACCCAGTCCTTAAGAAGCCCATCCTCTCCGCGGCCCTGGGCGGATAGGGCCAGGGCTGCTCCCTGGTCTTCCCAGCAGGGGAAGGAGGAAGGAGGCTGGAGCTGCCACCCGGGGCCGGCGTGGCCTTAGCAGTGCCAGGGGTGCCCCAGCTCGGGCACCGACCTGGGCAGGCAGGTCTGCCAAGCACGGGTCGGGGTGCAGGAGGCTGTGCCTCTCCCAAGAGGGCACCGGCTCCGGTCAGAGAGCAGGTTCAGGTCCTGCTTCCTTCACTCACTCCCACCCCAGCCTCGCCTCAGTCCCCTCGTCCGCTCCAGGAGGGCAGCGATGCCACCTCACGGGGCCCTTGTGAGGGGGCAGCCACCAGAAAGCACGCGGCAAGCGCCACGGCACTGACAGCTACGATGGTAATCACTGTTCCCCGCCGTGTCTCCCCAGTCACGTGTGACCTCTTGAGCTTAAGGTAATTAGGGTAAAACATTCTGTCCCACGGCCACATGTCAAGGCCTCAGTGGCCGCATACAGCTTAGTGGCTACTGTACTGGACCACCAATTATGGAATGTTTCCAGAAAGTTCTATCGGTCAGCAGGTCATACAGCATCTCCCATGGTCCAGGTGCCACGCCGAATGCTTTCCACCTGACAGCTCAGAAAGTTTAGCCCTTGTCAGCGGTGCTGGTAACATTATTATTCATACAAGAAACTTTGGGTTATTTTTGAAAGAGCGAGGACAATTTGGGGGAGAAAGCTAAGAAGTTACCACGAGGAGGAGAGCTTGTCTTCCTGCCCTGGCAGCTGTCACTTGCCACCCTCCTTGAGCAGCTTCTAATGAGGCTGGAAGAGGCTGGCCTGTCCTCCCGGGGCCACACCTCGATCTGTCTGTCTGGTACCCCCTCCCTCCCCTGCCCGCTCACCCCCACCACCAAACCAAAAATGGCCCACTCCCTGGCCAAGGTCGCAGCGCAGATGAAGCTGAGGCTTCCGAGGATGGCCTCGAGCTCAGGAGGCCAGGACGCCCACCCCCGTTCAGCCCAGAGATGCGGAGGTCAGTGTGGGGAGAGGAACCCCACACACTGGACCCATTGACCACCTGGACACAGCTCATCACTCTCCGTCAGAATCCCTGCTTCACCTGGCCCCTGAGGCTCCTCACACCTGCCGGCCTCCTACTCCCTGGCCCAGAATCAGAGACCCCGTTAAAGCCCTTCTTCTGCTCAGTTCCCTCTCCTGGAGGAGTCGCCTCTGTACCTGTAGGCTCTCGCCTCCATTGCCCTCTGAGCATGTCTCCTATGGCCCTGGCCTCACTTTTCCTCCTGCCACAGGGCCTTTGCACCTGCTGCCTCCTCTGCCTGAAACACTGTCCCTTCAGAGAGCTCCAAGCCTTGACCCCTCATTTCCCGCAGTGTCCCCTCCAAGGGCCCCCTAATAAATATTGCTTTTCATGAGAAGCCTGAAGTCCAGCACTTGACGGTTAAGGTACACAACCAGCCGTGATTCGGAGAGCACGTACCGCGTGTGCCGTGTGCCTCTGTGCGAGACGATGCGTGCTCAGAGCCAGCTACACTCCGCCCGGGAGGGGAGGGCCGCCAGTCCAGGACCCAGCGGGGGTGCTGCAGGCTGGGCCAGTTCCAAAGAACCAGGGGAAATGGACCCCGTGGCGGGGCCTGCGCGCACTGGCTGGGACCCTGGCATGGCCCCGGCTGACAAGGACGTCCCGTGGACACGGCCATGCTGCATCTAAGCGCCAGCTTTGGGATAACCTGGCTGGAGGCGCACCGTCCTCTCTTCTTCACCAATAAGAATAAAAATACTTCTAACCACCTCCAAGGACTGTGATCAGGACTGGAGGAGATGTTGGTACATCCCAGGCCCCTGGCTGGTCGATGTCAACACGCTGTGCTTCCCCTCTTATCCCCTATCCCCCCGTCCCCTCTCCAAAGCGCAGCCAGAGGGATCTTTCCAACGTGCACAGCTGCTCAGGTGCCCCTTTGCCTAAGACCGTCGTGTGGCTCCACGCACAAGCTGGCATCCGAGGGCTTTCCAGGAGCTGATTCCTCCTGGGTGGGAACACAGCTCAGTAAACGCTCACAGAATGGATTCAGGAGTGAAGGATCGTCTGTAGACCTAGTCATTGGGGGCGTTTAGGGAGCAGCAGGCCACCTCTTGGTGTAGAGTGTTATTCTGAGCCCAGGTAGCACGTGGAACCCCAGTCTGGCTCTGCCCCCCTAGAGATGGCGCACATGATTCCTAGTCTGTATCAGCTGTCCAGAGACACCCTCGCTGGCCCTTCCATGACCACTGAATCCTCACGTACTGATTCACGGTGAGGTTCAGTCTGAGTCCTTTATTAAGGGCTTTTCTGTATTCTAGTCCTTCGAAAAGCGTCCTTCTGGTGTGGCCTCTCTGAGGTCGCTGGCACGTTGAGCTTACTGACCACAATGTCCCATTCTGAAGCAGTAAGTGGTTCTGCCCCGGGCCCCAGATAGAGGGCCGAGGGCCCAGGGCCCAGGGGCACCCCGGTGCCTGGCTCCCCGCCCTCTCCTCACCTGGCTGGGCCCTGGACGCTGATCAGGCCCAGGTCCTCGGAGCTGTCGACAAGCTGGCACCGGAACCTCCGGTCCTGCAGCACCGTGGTGATGTGGGACCAGTTGTGCTGGGCCACAGCCCCGCCCACGGCCAGGTAGTAGCCGTCCCCTGGAGGAGAAGCACGGGACTCAGCGCAGGACTGTGGGACGGAGGAGGCGGGGCAGAGGGGATGGCCCGAGGCCTCGTGGAGAAAACAAACACTCTTTCCTTGAAAGTGAACGACAGAGGCCCAAGTGATGGGGACACTCCCAAGGGACCCTGGCTTCTCATCACCCGCAGGACGAAACGTGGGGAGGAGGGGCTGGGTGCGGGACCGCCTGAGGCTGCACGCGTCAAGGGAGCATTTTCTGGGAGAGTCTGAGGATTTCTCCCACTTCTCAAAGGGTTTGTGGTCCAAGAAAGCGTAAGAGCTCCCAGCGCCATCACGCCGTGGGGAGATTGAGTCCCACCTCAGCTGCCAGTGCTGGGCGAGCTTGGACAAGCCTCTTTCCTTCTCTGAGCCTCAACGTCCTGACCAGCTCCCGTTTCTCTTCACATTCCCATGGCCCCCCGGTCTCTAGGATCCCTGCCATGGCCTTATGGGGGCTGGTGTCGAGCCGGGGCGTTACAGGCAACACACCGTTGATCCTTCAGAGGGGACTGACACTCGTCACCACCCTCGGGAAAAGGAGACTGAGGTTCAGAGAGGTCACACGGTGTGAGAAGACTGGCCTCTGTCCAGCTCTGAGTCCACGGCCTGTGGACCATCCACTGGGCCATGCTGCCACCCGGGTACTGCTGAGTGGAGGGGAGCTCACCTTGGCCCAGTGTCCTGGGAGAGCCACTGCCCCGGGGGGCTGTGACCTCAGACAGCTGTGTGGCCCTGGACCCCTCATGCAGCCTGCCTGAGCCTCCGAAATGTCATCTGCAATTTGGGGTGAAGGCACCTCACCCGCGGGGATGCTGTGAGATTCAGCCACTGTGTGTGCCCTGGGCGGGCAGGCTCTCACTGACTACTCCCCCCGTGACCTGGTGGAGGTGGCAGGCCTGGAAGGGGCTTCGCTCCTCTGCATTTTCTATGCGCCCTTCTCCCCATCCCATTCCCTCTCTTCCTTCCTTCCTTCCAGCAGGGCTCCCCCCATCTCAGAGTGATGGGACCCAGTCAATCCCTGACTTCCAACCTCAGTTTCTGCATCTGTACAATGGGAATGAGGCCAGAACCCCCCGCCACCTCACAAGGCTGCTGGGGTGATTGAAGGAGCTATGGCGGCACCAGGAGCCCAGCTTGGGGCTCAGGAACCAGGAACCGGGATGGTTACGCACTGGGACACTCATCTCCCTCCCCGGGGGTCCGGTCCTGCCCAAGGGCTGCTTCTCTCAGCTTTCCGCGCCATTCACTCTGGGCCCCGCCGGGGGCCGGCCTGGCACCAGCCCCCAGCCCACTCTGGGCACATCTGGCATGGGAGGGGGGCAGCAGCTCTCGGGGAGGCTACGGAGTCTGGAGAATCCTGCCTAGACGCCCTTCCGCACACTGGCCCCCACTCCCCGAGGCTTCCACAGCAGTGGAACAGCATGTCATTGTGATCATAGGTGCGGGCACCTACTATAATTGAAAAAGAGACACGCCCCACTTTGCTTCTCCAGCAGGGGAGCGTGAAGCTCGTAGCAGAGCCCAGACGGGGACAGGGGATGGGGTGGGGGGGCCTGGGACCTCTGCTCCCTCCCCAGAAGCACTCGCTGGCTGGGCTCTGATGGAAGGTCCTGGAGCTGGGACCGGTCAGGCCACCACACCTGGAAGCGTGAAGCTGGGAACCCTTTGCCCCCTCCAAGCCAGGGTTCCACCAGCAGCAGCCGGGGGGAGAGCAGAAGAGCCCCTGGCTTTGCCATCAGTCCCCCACGTGGAGACCCCAGCCAGAGCCCTGGTCGTCCTCCCGCCCCGTCCAGGTGACCTCTGGCACATCCCTGACCTCGTCACCCCACGTTCTGTGTGCCCGTCTGCGCCCTCAGTCCTGGCTGTCCATCCAGACCCAACTCAAAGGCCAAACAAACAAGCTGATCCCCAAGGATCCCCTGCTACCTGGGCTGGGGGCTCTCGGGACGCTGGATTGAGAACACCTCTGAGGATCGAGTCTCCAGCAGCATCCTCTACCCCAGCGCCCGGAGCACGCTCCGTGGGCCCCGCGGGGCCCCGCCCGTCTGCAGCCATGCCGAGGCCCCTCCCAGGGGGACCCGAGCGTTAACTGAAGCCACCTGGTTACCACAGACGGCGGCTGCTGGGCCTGGCCTCCTCTGGGCCGCTGTCTCTCCTGAAAAACATCGTGAAGCGCCCAGGGCCGGGTCCAGCCCACACGGCGGACATGGCAGGGAGGGCGGTCAGAGGGCAGGCTCCAGGGCCCTGGCTCGGGCCGGGAGCTGTGGACTTTATTTGGTACTTTTCAGAATTGTCCAGATGTTTCCTACAGGTATGTACTCCCTTTGTGGTGTAAAATACTGTTCAAAATACTGTTCAAAATCACATTTAAGATGGACAGCTGCTTTATACACAACCTTGATCACACGCGAAACGCACATCCTCTTGTCTTAATGGTGATCTGACCTAACAGGTGTAAACACGCGCACTGAATGGACATGCATGTTCACAGCAGGAACAGTACCGCTTTTTTAAGGCTGAAAATACAAGGTCCGTATGTGGGTTTTCTGTGCTTAGCGGTGAAGCCGGGACCTTTAGCTCCACAGACCACTGTGACTTGCTTGTCATCTGCACACGCCCTGGCAGGTCAAGAACCCACCAAGTGCAAACCTCCCCACCAGGCGGCCGTTTAACTTGAGGCAGACGCCCCCAGCGTCCAGGAGAAACATCTCCGGGGTCCATTCACACCTCCCCTTCCCCTCCTCTCAGAGCCTGCTCTTCCCGCCCTGGCAGGCGAGTTCTCCTCCAGGGCCAGGAATCCACCAGACTCATCGGGAAGGGCACAAGAAGCTGCCCCCTTGGGCCGTGGCTCAGCGTACAGAGCCTTGGTGACAACTCCCCCCGGTGACGGGGACTAGTTTCCAGGTGGGGAAACAAGCTCAGGGAGGCTGCTCCCCAGCCCTCCTGGCACCCCCAGACTCTCGCTCAACTCCCTGCAGCAGCTCAGGGAGGTGGGTCATTTGTCTCCACTTCACAGATGGGGAAACTGAGGCTCAGAGAGGCGGGCCCCGAGCCAGGCAGTGGCAGAGCCAGGATTTCAGGGACCTGCACACTCACTGGGGTCCCTCTGTTCTGTCTCCCCAGCTAGACTCGCTGTCTAAGGATGGCAGCTGTGGCTGGACCGGGCCTCCCCTCTCCTGGGGGATGAAGGCCAAAGTTTCCAGCGGCCCTTGTCAAAATGCCCCTCTCCGCCCAGCTCCTCACAGGATCCTCCCGCGTTCTTTCCTCCACACCTTTCTAGCAGGTGGCTCGTATCCATCCTTCGAGGCTCAGGCCAGACATCACCTCCTCCAGGAAACCTTCCTCATCCTGGCTCACCTGCTTCCCATGGCCTCCCATAATCCTCACTCTTTCCCACCCCCTCACAATCCCACCCAGTGTTCTATCGGGCTTTTCCTGCACCTCCCTCTCCCAGTGCCCAGGCCAGACCTCGCCCCCCTCCTCCGTGACTGAGTCCCACGCAACTGAATGGCCAGCAGCACTGAGCCAGGCCGGGAGCTGGGGCCGCCAGGTTTCCTGAACGGGCTGACAGTGACCCTTCCCCCGACGGTACAGTGCAGCCGCACAGAGAGCAGCACAGTTGAATCCTTTCTCCCCTGCAAATCCAGTGTCCCAGAGGTGGCAAGGGGGCCCCTTCTTGGAGAGAGGGGATGCTCCCCACGCTCTGTGAAGCTTAGCCATTGCTACTCTTCCCTGACAGAGACAGGCTTGCAGCACTAGAGATTCGACTGCTCCCATGTGAACCAAGGGGTGGGTCGGGGAGGTGAACTGATGGGGGCAGATCTGGCTCAGCATAGTCAGACCTGTGCAAACAAGGGGTACGAGTAATGAGCTCCCCGTCACAAGAGGCATGCAAGCAGAAGCAGAGGGCCTGCAGAGGGCAGTGTGGGTGTCAGCTTGGGCACAGAGCTGGATATCTTCTAAGGACCTGCCCCAGTCTGAGACTGAGAGTTACACGGGAACGGAGACAGCCAATTCAGCATAGATGCCGGTGTCAGAAGGAGCTAAGTTCTCCACGAGGGAGGCGTGGCCTTATCCTCGGCTCACTCTCTTCCGGGCAGGTGAGCTGAGCACGCGCACGCTGTGGCCACTCCGAAACCCCGCGGGACGGGCAGGTTCAAAGGCATAATCATTGAGCGCTGGAAGCCCAGCATCGTTGCCTGAACAAAGGCCGCATTCAGCCTGAAGCGAGACCTCTGAGCTCCCAGGCCCTGACTGCGGCGGGCACACGCGTGACTCCAGAGCAGCCTCGACAGCCCCCCCCAGTGCGTCCTGCGTCGGCGGCCGCCTCACCGAGCGGGGCTGCGTCGAGGGCACTGCTGGATCCTCGAGGCATCGCTTACCTTCAAAGGCAGGGGCCAGCGGGGAGGGCTGGGGGCTGGGGGCAAGGCGGCTGACGGTCAGGTCGCTCTCGGTGCCCCCGCGGTGGTTCAGCATGCAGGTGTACACCGTGGAGCCTGCGGACAGGATGAAGACCCCAGAATGTGGGAGCCATTTAGCGGGGCGGCCCCTCAGCTCAGGGTAACCCTTGGTCGGATACCCTAGGGGGACAACCTTGAAAGGCCCCTCGTCTCAGTGATGCCACCAAGACTGAATGACCCAGAGAGGGATGGGCAGGTCACCCAGCACTGCCATGCCCAGAGGAGGAAGGGTCAGGAGGGAGGCTTCTTTCTTCTAGAAATGCCTCGAATCCCTCCCTCCCACCCACCCCACCCCCACGCTGGGACGTCTTTAAGGGCAGGATTTATATCTCATTCATTGGGCGTTCCTAGCACCATGCCTGGCACAGCAGAAGCTCCTTGAATGGCTGATGAACAAATGAGTATGCAAAAGGAAGTAGATGGATGGATGAGAGAATGCGGAGGTGGGGAGAGGGTGGGGGGAAGCACGGATGGAAGGAGGGGACAGGTGGGTGGGTAGAAGGGTGTTGGCATGATGAATGGGACGCGGGGGATTAAGGAGAGGTGAGTAGCAGGTACATGTGAGGCGGGGAGCAGGTGGGTTGGCTGGATAAATGGTATAATGGGTTGAACTGTGACCCCCAGAATGGTATGTTGAAGTCCTAACCCCCAGTCCCTGTGAATGGACCTTATTTGGAAATAGGGTCTTTGCAGATGGGATCATGCTAGGGTGATCAGAGGTCATCAGGGTGGGGCCCTAATCCAACGTAATTGGTGCCCTTAAAAGAAGAAGAAAACGCAGGGAGAAGGCCGTGTGACTCAGAGGCAGAGATTGGAGCAACATGGTTGAAAGCCATGGACGGTGGCCACGGCCAGAAGCCAGGAGGGGCAAAAAGGAGGGATTCTACGTTCTTGGGATCACGGCCCTGAGTTTGAACTTCCAGCCCCAGGCTTGTAAGACAACACATTTAGGTTGTTTAAAGCCACTCAGTTTGTGGTACTTTGTTACAGCAGCTCTAGGAAACTAATAGCGATGGGGCTGGGTGAGTTTGGGGTTGGGTGGATGGGGATGCGTGATAAAAAAGGAGAGGCATATCCCAAACATTGCATGGGACATACTTACACTAAGAAGTTATTCATCCTTTATTTAGAATTCAAATGGCACTGAACACCCTGTGTTTTTGTTTAATTCTAGAAACCCTACTTGGGGAGAGCATTCCTAGGGGGGGAAGTGGACAGGTTCCGCAGCCCCAGGAGACTGTTCTGAGGACTTGCTGCCTGGAACCCTGTCTGGAACAAAGTAAAAGTGGGGGTGGGGGCAGGGGGGAGGATGGAGGAGGAGACAGAGGGTAGAGGAAGGGAGGAAGGAGGAGGGGCCTGGGGCCAGGGCTCGGCCAGGAGGGCAGAGGGGTCTGGACACGGGGACCCAGGGCCAGGCCCCGGGGTGGAGCCATGAGCCAGATGAGCCCAGAGAGGACAGGGTTAGCTCGCTGTCTCGTCTCAGTGCCTGGGGCTGCACCGAAGTGGGAAAGCGTGGCCCACCTGGGCTCCGTACCTGGGGCCCGGCTGACATCGGCCGAGAAGAGCCAGTCGGCGGCCTTCCTCGCGTCCAGGCCCACCAGGTAGAACTTCCCGAAGTAGGACATGTCAAACACAGCAGCGGCCCCTCTGCAGGCCAGACACTCCTTCCTGATCTGAAAAGTTCCAGAGGTGGGGTGCTGTGTGGGCTCCGGGACCTGACTCCTCCCCCAGACCCTGGGCCCTTGGCTGCCGTCCTGCTCCGAGAGCCCCTCCTGCCTTCCCCCCCTCTAGCTAGGAACACACGGTGACCATCCTTTTCAAGCACAGGAGACACTCTCCAGGGTAGACCAGAAGCCATAAAACAAGACGATAAATTCAAACGGGTTAAAATCATACAAAATATGTTCTTTGACCACAGTGGAATCAAATTAGAAATCAATAGTGGAAGAAAAATCGGGAAATTCACAAATAAGTGAAGTTAGACAACGCAGTCCTAGACAACCAACGGATCAAAGAGAAAGGGAATTAGAAAACACTTGGAGATGAATGAACATGAAAATACAACTTATGCTGACTGATGGGATGAAGCTAGTGCTGTGCTCACGGAAGTTTTCCACCTGCAAGAGCTCTCCAGTCAGTAACCTCACTTCTCCACTTTGAGAAACTAGAAAAGGAGAGCAAATTAAGCCCAAAGTAGGCAGAAGGCAAGGCAGGCAGAAGCAAAGACATACTAAAGATTAGAAAGGAAATAAATGAAATCTTGAAAAACAGAGAAAATCAGCAAAATTGAAAATTGTTTCTTTGAAAAGATCAACAAAATTGGCAAATCACTAGCTAGACTGACCAAGAAGAAACAGCGAAGACTCGAAGTACTGAAATCAGGAATGAAAGAGGGGTATCACTAACCAATTTATAGCAAAGGATTTTAAGGAATACTGTCAACAGCTGTCCACCAACAAATTTGACATGAAATGCAATTCCTAGAAAGACACAAATTACTGAAGCCGACTGAAGGGGAAATAGTCTGAATCCATCTATAATAAAAAAGAGACTTAATTAGTCATTTAAAACTCCCCACAAAGAAAAGCCCAGGTCCAGATGGCTTCACTAGTGTATTTTACCAAACATTCAAAAAAGAATTAATACCAATTCTTCACAAACTCTTCCCAAGAGGCCAGCACTACCCCTGATGCCAAAACCAAAGACCTCATAAGAAAACTACAGAGCAAAATCCTTCATGAATACAGATACAAAAACCTCAACAAAATACTAGCAAACTAAATCCAACAACATATAAAAAGGATTACACACCACGATCAAGTGGGATTATCCCAGGAATGGGAGGCTGCTTTACCACCCCAAAATCAATCGACGTAATGTACCATCTTCATGGGATAAAGAACAAAAACCAAATGATCATCTCAATAGATGCAGAAAAAGTATCTGACAAAATCCAACACTTGTTCATTATAAAAACTCCAAGTAAACTAGGGCTAAAAGGGAAATTCCTCAACCTGATAAAGGGCATGAACAAAATCCCACAGCTGACATACTTAATGGTGAGAGACTAAATGTCCCACGCTAAGATCAGGAACAAGACAGGGCTGTCCACTCTGCTACTTCTACTCAACACTGTACTGGAGGTCCCGGCCAGAGCAATTAGGCAAGAAAAAATAAAAGGCATCCAGACTGGAAAAGGGGAAGTAAAACCATGTCTATTTGCAGCTGATGTGATCTTACATCAGAAAATCCTAAGGAACCCACTGAAAAACTATTACACCTAATAAAATAGTTCAAGAAGGCTGCAGGATATAGGGTCAATATACAACAAATAAAAAATTTTTGTATTTCTATATGCTAGCCATGAACAATCGATGAAATTAAGAAAATAATTCTATTTACATCATCAAAAAGAATTTTTAAATGCTTACACATAAATTTAACAAAAGAAGCGCAAACTTGTACTTAAAAACTAGAAAATATCTTTGAAAGAAATTAAAGACCTAAATAAATGGAAAGACCTCTCATGTTTACGAAATGAAGACTCATTATTGCTAAGATGACTGTACCCCCCAAATCAATCTACCGATTAGAGAGTCTACCGAAATCTCGGCTGGCTTCTTGGCGGAAGCTGACAAACGGATTCTAACATTCACACAGAAATGCAAGGCACCCAGAATATTCAAAACAGTCTTGAAAAAGGAGAACAAAGCTAGAGGATTCACACTTCCTCATTTCGAAACTTACTACAAAGCGAATGTACTCAAGACGGCGTGGTATAGCATAAGGATAGAAATACAGATCAATGGAATAGAATTGAGAGTCCAGAAATAAACCCTGACGTTTATGGTCAGTTGAGTTTTCACAAGGATGCCAAGGCAATTCGATCGGGAAAAGAATAATCTTCAACAAATGGTGCCGGAACACCCGAATAGCCGCCTGCAAAAGCGCGAAGTTGGACCCCTTCCTCACGCCACACACAAAGCTTCATCAGAATGAACCACAGACCTAAGTACGAGACCTAAAACTATACGATTCTGAGAAGAAAACAGAAGAGTAACTCGTTGTGACCTGGGTTAGGAAACGCCTTCTTAAATATGACACTAAAAACGCAAGGGACAAAAGAAAAACTACATAAGCTGTACTTCATCGAAATTAAGAACTTTCGTGCTGCCAATGATATCATTAAAAAAGTGAAGGGCTTCCCTGGTGGCGCAGTGGTTGAGAGTCCGCCTGCCGATGCAGGGGACGGGGGTTCGTGCCCCGGTCCGGGAAGATCCCACATGCCGCGGAGCAGCTAGGCCCGTGAGCCATGGCCGCTGAGCCTGCGCATCCGGAGCCTGTGCTCCGCAACGGGAGGGGCCACAACAGTGAGAGGCCCGCGTACCGCGCAAAAACAAACAAACAAACAAACAAAAAAGTGAAAAGACAACCCACAGAAGGGGATAAAATGTCTACAAATCATAAATCTGAGAAGGGACTTGTAGCCAGAATGTACGGAGAATTCTTATAACTCAATAAAAAGACAAATAGCTCAATTTAAAACTGAGCAAAGTATCTGGATAGACATTTCTCCCAAGAAGATATACAAATGGCTTAATCTGCACATGAAAAGATGTTCCACGCCAGCATCATTAGGGAAATGCAACTCAGATCTTTGAGATACCACTTCCCACCCATGCGGATGGCTGGCGTCAAAAAGAGAACTACACGTGCTCACGAGGATGGAGAACCGAGAACCTCGTCCGCCGCGGGCGGAGGTGTGAAACAGTGCAGCCACTTTGGAAAAGCCTTCGCAGATCTTCAAAACACGAAACGTGGAGCTACCACATGGCCCGGCAATCCCACTCCCAGATATTTACCCGTGAGAAATGAAAACATCTGTCTAAAAACTTGCACGCACATTTTCAGAGCAGCATTATTCATAATAGCCCGAAAGTCGAACCACGCAAATGTCCATCAACAGATGAATGGATAAAGAAAAAGGAGTGTATCCATGTAATGGAATATTGTTCAGAATAAGAAGTCATGAAGTACTGACGACTTCCTAAAACATGGATGGTCCTTGAAGACATTATGCCAGTCACAGAAGACCATTGTACGAGGCCATTACGTGAAACGTCCAGATGAGGTAAAGCTACGCAGACAGGAAGTAGATTAGTGGCTGCCAGAAGGTGGGGATGCGGTGAGAAAATGGGCTAATGGGGATAGGGTTTCCCTGGGGGGGAGATAAAAAGGTTCTAAAATTAGATTGCAGTGATGGTTGCAGAACCCTCTGAAAATACTAAAAGCATTGTACACTTTAAGTGGCTGGGTGGTATGGTATGTGAATATATCTCATTAAAGTTGTTTTTTTTTAAAAACAAAAAACAAAAAAAACCAAGGCGACATCTCTCATTATTTCCCTCCATACGGTACGCAAACGCTTGGCTCCAGTCTCAAGGTTTTCTGCTGTCCATCTGTTTCTTCTGCTTGGTCTTCCCTTGCAATGTCAGTCCATCTTTGCCCTAAACCCCTCACCCCATCGCTGAGCAGATGTGCCAATCCCACTGCTTTTACGGGAAAAAAAAAAAATTATAACAGGAAAGCTGCCACTTAGGGAGCATTTAGGGTGTGTGAGGGGCCCACGCCATCTCCTCCCACCCCATGTGGTACAGACACCGCTGCCTGGGAGCAACTGTGATTAGCAGCCTCACAGCCGGGTGCCCTCCGAGGCCCAGGGGCAGTACGTGGGCCACTCAAGTTTACACAGGTGGAAACGATGAGCTGTTCATCACCTGGGTCTGTCTAGTAGTGCCCCGACCCCGAGAAGCCACTGTGCACATCTCTCCCCGCTCTGCGTTCAGTGATGCCACGTGGGTGGGTGGGAGGGAGCGGACGGTGAGGGCATTTATACAGGGGAAACTGGCCAGCGCCGGGGATCAGGCTTCCCCCCAGGACAGTTGGTTGTTACCCGGCACCCCATGGGGTCTGCACAGCTTCTGAGCCCCAGAGGCTGCAGTTCACCCCTCTCCAGGCACCACTACTCTTTATGGAGCTCCCTTCGCCCATCAGCCATGTGGTACCTTCGCTTACACTGCTGGGGCTGCAGATCAAACCCCAGAACAGCTTCCCGGGCTGACTCTCGTCTAGCCAGGCTGGGGACGTTGCCAAGGCTGAGAACAAGTGCACGTTTCATGCTCTGGGACTGTCGAGGTGCCTTTGCGCGGGTGGGATGCAGCCGCGAAGCCAAGTTGGCATCCCCTCCCAGCGCCCACATCCTCAAGGGCCTGAACATCCCGCAGGCCTTGGAAGCCACCGTGCGGAGGTGCCAGACGGGTCCCCGTTTGCTCCCCGGAGAGGCAGCCCCAGGGACTCCTGGGCTTTCAGACGCACATGCCTCCCCTTCCATTTCAGAAGCCGCCTCCTCCAATGCCTTTACTAGAGCAAACTTTGGAGGAAAGCGTGCTTCCTCCCCTTCAGGACCGGGTGCAGAACTAGTCACGATAAAGATGCGGGCCTGTTCAGAATGTATTAAGAGTTTCCAGGCAGCAACAGCAGAGCTTTGCTTCTAAGCAGGGGGCCCCACGTGACTGCAGGGGTCCCACGCCCACGAAGCTTCCCAGGCCACCCATCCCTGGGGACCCCCAGGCTGAGGCCTTGGCCCCCTCTCAAACAGATACCGAAGGGACTTCGCTCCCTCCCCAGTCGGCCACGTGCACGGGGACACAGCACGTTCTGCTGGGTAACAAAACAGCTGGGCGGCTCAGAGGGGGAGCTGGCATAGTCTCTTCTGCAGAAGCTGCCTGTGAGAACTTCCCTGTGTGACGTAGACTCAGAGGGACTCACCTCAACCCCAACAGAAATGAGGAGTCGGGAACGGAAGGAAGGAGCCAGGAGCCGCCAGGAGCGACCTGAGAATCGGAGCAGCTCCGAGAGGCTCAGAGAGGTGAAGCCCTGGCCCGAGGCCACACAGCCAGACCCAGGCCTGGCTCCAGCCCCACTCCTTGAGCAGACCTCACCGCTGCCAAAGTCTTGGTACAGACGGGAGGGGAGGGCAGAGAACATCACCGATTCCTCCACGAAACTGAGTCGGCCAAAAACGGGGGTGGGGATAGCTGGCAGAGAGGGCAAGCCCACGGGGACGCCCGCCTTTCTATCCCATCAGGGATGGGGCGTCCTACCACGTCGTGGTGGGGAGGGAAGTCGAAGGTGTACTCCTGGCCCAGCAGCCTGCCGTAGAGGTAGTCCTCGTGCGCCCGCTGCCTGTAGGCCCCGTAGTAGTCGTAAGGGAGCACCTGGGGCAGAAGAGGGGTCGTCACCGGTCCCGCCCCCTCCTCCCCCCTCCACGCACAGCATGGCCCGGTGCCCGCGGCCTGGCCAGCCCTGAGCCGGGTCCTGCAGAAACAAAGGTCCACAGGGCAGAGCTGGTCCTGCCCTCTCCGAGCCCCGCTCTCGAGGGGCAACGCGCTGTGGACGAGGCCGGGGTGGAGGCGGGGCTCAGGCATGCCCTCCACGTTGCACAGGTGACACCATAATCTCCATGGCGGTGGGAGCGCTGGGGCCCCGGAGGGTGGAGAACGAACGGGGTGTGCTCGGGTAGGGAGGACGGCGAGGGACGGGGCTGAACGGGAAACAGGCGGGTTGACTGGGACCTCGGGGGCCACGCCAGGGCTTCCGATTCAGCGCCAAGGCACTGGGATAAGGCCCAGGGATCAGCTTGCGGAAGGAGAGGGAGGGGGAGTCGGGGCTGGGGTGGCCGCAGCGGTGGCTCCAGGTGCTGTTGCCATGGTGATCCGGGACCAGGTCCTGCTCGGGGCCAAGCCCTGCGCAAAGGGCCTCGCGCTTCCGGGAAGGGAGACCCTCTCTACAGATGAGGAAACCGAGGCGCCGAGAGACTGGAACTTGCCTCAGGTCACAGGCGAGTCCTGAGCGCACGGCGTGGGCCCCAGAGGCTGGCCCCTCAGCCACCACTTGCCTTGGCTTCTCCTGCACTCGGTCAGCCGCTCTCAGGGAGGCCCAGGACCCAACACCTGCACCTGGTCCTGTTCCTGCGGATGGGGCCCCTCCTCCTCCCCCAGCCCTCCCTCCTAACATCCCAGCCCGCCGTAGCCTGGCCAGGGGTCAGGGGTTTGGGGACGTCTCGTCACCCAGTGCCCTGGACTCCCAGGATGGCTCCCGGGTGGGGACTGCACAGCCTGCCCATCTCGGGACCAGGGGTATGTCACCGATTCCTGCTCTGGTCTCATCGCCTTGCCCGCGGATTCCGGGGAGAGGGGTTTCCAGGGCGGACCAGGCTGGCTGCAGTGGGCTCTGCAGAGACCTGCTCAAGGAGGGGTCTCCCTAGGCCCCTCCTCTCTGCTGACCCCAGAGAAGCAGAGGCAGAAGCCATCAGGAACTCTGGCCTCCATCCACCTCACCTAACATGCCCTGGAACTTGCCTTGGCACATAGCTGCCACGGAGATGGGAGATGGGTCGCACTGGAAGGGGACTGGAGAAACATAGCAACGGGAAAGGGGGTTTAATTTGTACAAATCTGGGTCAAATACTATCCCCCTCAGATCACATCACCTGCTCCAGAGACCCCAGGCCGAGGGGCTCACAAGCAGGACGGTTTTGACTCTTCTCTGAGGACCCGGGTCCCTGAGAGGCACTGGGTGGGGGCTGGGCAGCCCCCAGGAGGGCACCCAGAGGCCAGGACGCTGTGAAGTACCAACTTACGAGCTAACACACAGAATGCATAATTTTGGCTAAATCCTCCTACTAACATTCACAGTTGCCGTTGCCAAAGATATATGAACCAAATTACGAGAAGACGCTCTGATTCCTCCCGTAAACCTGGGAGCCTCGTGTGCAGCCTCCCTTCTGTGGAACACCAGCTCTCCTGGCCCCTGGCCCATTTGGGCCGTGGAAGGCCGGGCACCGTGGGCGGTGAGGGATGCCTGTGGGGACATCCCACGACCTCAGGTGGCCCGGCCAGGGCTCGGCTTCTCCAAAGGCCAGGTGACGCACCCGCCCCACGGCACTAAGGACAGGGAGACACACAGCCACCTCCGGTGGGGAGGACGTAGGCGGGACGGTGGGCAGGGGCCGGGCGCAGGCCGGGCTGGGGGCATGGCCGCTGGGTGCCGGGGAGCCACTCACCGGAGCCGCGCCGTGGGGACTGAACCATCCCGGCCTCTCCCAGCCGTGCCGCTCCTGGAACACACAGCCTCGTGCGAGGAGTTCCTGGTTGTGGAGGGAGAAGAGGCCCACTCAGGCCTGGCCAGACGCACAGAGAAGGGCAGGGAGGGGAGAATCCACCACCCGGCACTGCAGCAGGCAGCGGGCAAAGAGGTCCCGGTACTCGGAACCAGGACCCAAGCCCAGGCTCTGATTCCAACTGTGCGGCCCTCCCAGCACCCACACTGCCCGCCTCAAGAATCCCCCATCTGCAGAATTACCTTCTCTTATGGACCGAACAGCACCCCCAAATTCCTATGCTGAAGCCCTAACCCCCAGTGTGACTGTATTTGGAGACGGGGCCTGTGAGGAAGGAATTAGGGTGAAATGAGGCCCTAAGGGTGGGGTCCGAAGCCTTATGAGGAGAGGAGAAGCCACCAGGGCTGTCCCTCTGCCAGGAGCAGACACAGTGGGAAGGCGGCCGCCCTCACCAGGAACCGGTCAGCGGACACCTGGATCCTGACCGCCCAGCCTCCAGGACTGTGAGAGATGAATTCGAGCCCCCCAGCCTGTGGTGTCTGCTACGGCAGCCCGAGCGGTCTGGGACACCCAGTGACCCAGCGATGCCACAGCTAAGTGTACACCCAGGAGAAATGACACCAGGGATGCAAACAAGCCCGTGCACACCTGCGTTCACAACCACCCAGAGGTGGGGACAGCCCAGGTGCCCATCAACGGACGAATGGATGGCCAGTGTGGTCCACCCGTACGATGCGATGTTATTCAGCCTGACAAAGGAAGAACATTCTGACACCTGTTACATCGTAGATGAACCTCAGGAGCAAGGTAAGGAAAAGCAGCCCAGTCACCAAGGGCCACACAGGGTACGATTCCATTTATGCGAAAAGACCAGAACAGGCACATCCAGAGAGACAGAAAGTATAGATCAGTAGTTTTTCTAGGCTGGGGGGTGGGGGCGACATGGGGAGCTATTGCTTAATGGGTACGAGGTTTCCTCTTGCAGTGACAAAAACATTCTGGAACTGGATAGCGGTGATGGTTACGCAGCTCCGTGAATGTACTTAACCCCCTGCGCTGTACACTTCAGAGTGGTTAAAGTGGCAAGCTGTATGCTGTGTGCACTTTACCACAACCAGAAATTACAGCAGACACAATAAAGTAATGTGGTGGCAGATTCCTTTGAAAATAAATTTAGCCTGGGGGGAAAAAAGAATCTCCGCTCTAAGGTTTGGAAGGGCCCTGTGCCTGGGGCCAACCCAGCCCAGCGCCCAGGAGGAGTGGGCTTCGGAAGCTGAGCGTGGCCGGGACCGATGGGCGCCAGAGGCCAAGGCGGCCTGAGTCTCCCCCTCCCCGTGGGCCACCACCTCGAGGGGGAGGGCGCTCCAGGTCACATGCCAACTGGTGACCCCCGGATGCGTCCTCCCTGGACGTCCAAGGGGGTGGCAGCCAAGGACACAAAACCCACTCCCCTCCAGTGAGCGTGGGGACCCCTCCACCAGAGATGCATCACCCTTCCTGGGAGGGAAAATGGAGAGCAGGCTCCTCTATTGAACAAAACACACGCCAACCGTCAACGGCTGGGAAGTGTCACCAGGAGGGTGCTGACGAGGAAGTGAAGTGTGGGTGAAGGCAGATTCCTCCCCGGGGGCAGGGCTGCTGCACCCGCCAAGCCCCCTCCGGGCAGAACTGTGCACATGTGAGCCACGTGTCTGAGCCCATCTTCCACCCGAGAGTCATCGAGCAAGCCCTGCGCTCCTTGGGAGACTGCTGCGCTGCGGGGACGGTGCAGGCCCGGGGACAGGCTGGGGGAACCCGAGCCCACGTGGGGCCCAAGATTCCCAGCTGGCCCTCTAGGCCAGGCTGGAGGACAGGGCAGCCCGGGAGCCAAGGATGTCTCTGTCCTGGGGAGGTGCCGTGGGCACCAGCTCCCTCTGGGGTCCAGGCGCTGGAGCCCCAGATGAAGGAGGCTTCTTCTGCTTAAATGTTACCTGCTCACTGCGCCCTGCCCACCTGCCTCCCGCCCCAGCCATCCAGTCAACAAACATTCCCTGAGCACCTACCCAGAGTCAGGCTCTGCGCTCAGAGTGACTGGGGCCCAGCCCCCGTTGCCAGGGTCCTCGTAGACATGGGGGCAAGGAAGGGGGGATGGAGATGGACTTGGGGTTGGGGGGGGTAATGGGAGCACAGGGAAGGCACCTGGGTTGTCAGGGGCCTGGGAGAGTGCCCAGGGGTAGGCCCCAGGAAAGGCCACCTGACGATGGGTTTCATCATATAAGTAGAAGCTTGCCGGGGAGGAAAGACATCCCAAGCAGGCCCCACAAGCAGGAGCACGTCTTCTTAGCACGCCACTGCCTGGTCCTGCCCTCCTGATGGGCGACTGCACACACCTGCCGGTGCACCTGGCCCTCACGACCCCCCACTGTGCTCCAGGCACATTCCCTCGGTAAGTGCCCAGGGAGCGAAGGAGCCAACACCTGCCCTGCAGCTGGGGGCGGGGGGGCGCTGCATGCACTCTGTCACCCCACACCTGGGGCTCCCTGAGAGCGCCGGCAGCCGGCACAGAGCAGGCACTGCGGGGGGGTGGGGGTGGCACCTCGTGCAGGGGGTCCGTCCTCATGTTGCGTCCAGCCAGGGGCTCGTCGTGGGGGAAGACGACCGAGTAATTCTTGGAGTAGGACTCGTGGCTGCGCTCTCGAATCCAGCGGCCGTGGTCCGTGAGCGAGTGATGGAAGCGCCTGTCGTGGATGGAGTGGCCCGTCACTGCCTTGGGGACCCTTGTCCCCTCCACGGGAGTCCTCCCTATGGCTCAGGCCTCAGGGGGGCTCCTGGCTCTCCGTTCTCCCACTGAGGGGCCTTGGGCAGCCCGCAAATCTCGGGGAGCTCAGCGTCCTCGCCTGCAGCCCCCTACAGCTGACGGGCGCAGGGAGTGGACACCGCAGGCTCAGGGCCTCAGGCTGGGGAAGTGCGTGGGGTGAGCCGTGCTCCTTGCCCCCGACCTGGGCCCCAGGCCGGACAGGCCCCGATGATCTCGTGAAAGTTAACGTGAGCGATCTTCGGAGTTTAGGGTCAGCAGATGTGATGCCCCTTTCCCCTCAGTGCCCCTCAGCGGAGGCAAGGGGTGAAGGTGACGGCCTCTCAGGTCAGACCCCCAGGAGGCGCAGAAGAGTGGGAGAAGTCCCAGCTGTGTTGGGGGCACTGCTCCCAGGGATGGTGTGGCCGCGATCCCTGCACGTTTGTCCCCTGGCAGCTGGGGGGACACCAGGTGCAGCCACTCTACCCACGGTGGTGTCCAACTCCGCCCGCGGATCCCACGCGATCTCCTGCTGAGCTGAGAGGCCCCTTCCCCAGCCTTCACGAAGGGAGGACAGCCAGGGCCAACCAGCAGCCCTGCCGTCTGGTTCCCAGCGTGGCCACAGTTGCTGGGCTGCGTTACACGCTGCGCCCTGCAGCCCCTCCCAGGAACAGCCCACCTCTCAGGCGCCCAGCTCACTGCGGCCCCCGCCTGCCCACTCCTTCACTCCCCGCCTGTTGGCATCTCACGTGTCCTGTGGGGCCCCCTCCCCCCGGCTGTGTCCCCATCGGTGCTGCTGTCCTCAGGGGCCTGGCCTGAGCCTCGGCAGGGCTCCCAGCTGCTCTGACCTGCGCAGGGGCAGGGGCTGCCGATGTGGGAATTAGCACGACAGATACTATTCGTAGCGATTGCCGTCGTGTAAGGAGCCCTTTTCCAGGGCAGGCCCAGGGCTGAGGGCCACCTGCAAGAACCCCTCGTGCGGTCCTCAGAGCGGCCTCAGGTGTGGGGCTCCTGGTTTGACTCATTCCACACGACAGGAACCTGCTGCACTGAGCCAGGAGCTTCCAGAAAGAAGGGGGGCCACGAAGAACCGCCAGGGGCCTGGGGAGGGGTCCCAGCGGCAGCACGTGGGGCTGCAGGAGCAGGCTGGCGAGGGGCTGAGCCAGGGCGGGAGGAGGCCAGGAGACTCACCCCCCTTGGCAGCAGGAGCCCAGTGGCTCCTGGGATGGGACGTGGTCACCCACCCAGCCTCGCTGAGAGTGGGGCTCCTGGGGGGCTCTCAAGGGGGGAGGTGGAGCCTCAGTTGTCCTCTCAGACCCCCTGGGTGGCAGGGACCAGGGAGGGGGATGGGCCTGAGGCAGGGCTGGGTGATCCCTGCACAGGCACATCCGGCCCCTCTAGACAGGCCCCCACCAGCCCCTCTGCTCGCCCCTGTGCACACCTGTGGGTGTCAGGGGCGGGGGCACTCAGCTCAGCCCAAGCACGACAGGGGTCAGCAGCGGAAGGACCACTCCCCATGGTCCACAAGGACCCGGCTGCCGTTTTCCACCTGCATACAAGCGGGCAGAGGGGCCTGCAGCCGGGGTCCGGCGTCCAGCCACCCTCCTGACATAACAAAGAGCGAATTCTCCTTCCCTGGTTGCCAGGACCCCAAGAGCTTTCTTTAAAAACAACGGCCCGTGCTCTGGGCCCCACCTATGCCAGGCCCTGGGGGCGGCGACGCATCCCTACCATGAGCCTCAAATGCACTCCACTGAGAGGGTGGATCACTGTTCCCATTTCACAGATGGGGAAACCAAGGTCAGGGAGGAGGAAGAACTGGCTAATTGGTAGGGGGCCGGGACAGCTGAGAACCTGTTTGGGTGTCCAAAGGGGGTGCCTCTGCCACCATCCGTGAGGCAGCTGCTGTGGCCTGGAGGGCACCTGGTGCCAGGCCAGCCCCGGGAGCCTCACATGCAGGCCAGGGTCCAAACACGCCCTGGACCCGGCCCTGGGCCCCGATCGCCTCCTCAGGCACCTCTTCCCGAGCCCGTCCTCCAGCGTGTAAGACGAGGAGGTGACATGGGTCAGAGCTCTGCTCTGACCTGAGGGTCTAAGCAGGGGCACAAGGCTGGCGCTCCCTCGTCCGGGTTTTTTGGTGACTCCCTGACACAGTGCCCTCGTTTCCTGGCTCTGCCTCTCTTGTGGCGCCTGGGTCTCCATGCCCCGCTCAGGCCAGGGAAGCAGGACATCCCATCAGTGCTGAGAGGCCCCGGGTGCCGGTGCCACAGCTGGTCCGGTGGTGGCATGTGAGTGGGGATGGGGGCGGAGGGGTGGGTGCTGGGTGGACACGGACGCCCCACATCAGTGACCGCTCAGGCCCGATGCCATGAGCCGGTCATCTCCTGGGTGCATTGCCCGGGCCAGAAAGGCGGGTGGCCCAGATCACAGCCCCGACCCCTACCCACTGGGCCCCAGCACACAGGGGCTCCCTCCCTGGGCCCTCTGCCTTCCAACCTGTGACGCAGGCCCCAGCCAGGCCGGGGCAGAGGCAGGAGCTCTGCCTTCCACCCACAAACCCGCCCACAAGACGCTGCCTCTAATGTCACACTTGTGAGAAGAGGCGGCTGAGGAGGGAGGCTCAGACCCATGCCAGGGGCCTCCACCAGCCCCGGAGGTGAGAGGTCGCTCGGCGAGGTCGAGGATACGCCCTGGTCCGTCCGATTCCAGTGCTGAGGCCTCACCCCGCGAGAGAAGCCAGACGGCAGACAGCCCTGCAGGGCTGGAGCTGGGTCCCTGCCCACTGGCTCGCACGCGGGGTGACTTCAGACACGATGCCTCTTGCGACGGCGCCTCTGTTTCGCTGTTTGTAGTGGGAGGGGCTCGGACTGGCCCATCCCTGAGGCCCCGTGCAGCTTTATCATTTCTGGAACATTCCTCTCTTGGGAGAGCACGTGGGCACAGACCCAGACAGACTCCAAGGTGGCGCCAGAGCGGACCACGCTGTGCCAGGCGCCATGGAGGGGGCGGCAGTGTTGGGGGGACCTCAGGGTATGTCTGTCTGTCTCTGTGGGGGCCAGACATCCCCCCCAGTGGACGCGAGGTCCCCAGCGGGCCAGGCAGGGACGAGGTGAGCAGAGGAGCTGGGGTGCGCTGAGCTGAACCAGCAGCTCCTCCAGCCCTGCCACGTCCAGCCCTGCTGGGCAGCTGGGATCTCCCCAGTCACAGCGGAGGGGGCCGAACACCCACAGAGGCCCCTCCAAGCCGCTGCCTCGACTGCCACCTGCAGGGCTCGGGGCGCAGAACTGCCGCCTGGGGGCCAGACCCCAGCCCCACCGATTGCCACCTCCGGACCCTGCCTGGGGGCACCCGCATCCCTGTCCCGACTCACAGAGGTCAGTGGGACGCCTCCCAACTCCGATATCAGTGCCCCCTGGGCTCAGCTCAGCTTTGTTTAGTGTTTCCGTGTGCAGACCTGATGCCGAGCGTTTTACCTACACAAACACGCTCACTGCTGCCGGCGACATTGACAGCATATGCATCACACCCCAGGTTACAGAGAGGAAAGTGCTCGGCACAGGGTCTGACTGATTCCAGACACCCCGTGAGTGACGGATGGATGCAGCTGACATGTCGCTCAGGGCTGCCTGTCTCCCAGACCTGCACATGTCCTAACAATGACCACCAATTCAGCCCCATTTCCTGGGCAGCCTGTGCAGTCCCTCCTGCTCCCCGGGCCTCAGTCTCCCGATCTGCAAAGTGGGATGATAAGATCCCACTGCTGATCCCAGAGCTGTCAGGCGGGTCAGGCAGGACACTGGGACAAGAGGTCCTGGAAACTGTAGAGGGCAGTGGATCTGCCAAACCCAGGCACCCTGCAGCACCGCCCCCGCTGGCAGGCTTCTTCCCTTTCTTCCCTTACTGCCACCTCTTCCAAGAAGCCCTCTGGATTTCAGGGAAGGCTCCTTTCCAAATAGCCCTGGATATTCACCCCACCCCACCCCACCCCACCCCACCCTAGGGCAGCCGCCTCCTGCCCGCGGGTCCCAGCGGGCCCTTGCCTGATGTCGTAGCTGTGCATGTCCTTCTCCGGGCGCCCGTGGATGATCCAGTGGGCCAGCTCCTGCCCACAGCCACCTCCCAGCATCATTCCTGGCAGGAGCGGAGCCGCAGGTCTGCGATCCACCCCCAGGGCCCTGCACCTCAGTTCCGTGCCCCTCCCACCTCTATGGGCAGCATCAGCCCCTAAGCCCTGGATCTCACACCTGGGGTGCCACACACCTCCTAACGGGACCTCACCCCCTCCCGGCAGGCTTGTCCCATCTCCACCCCTGTCAGGGCTGCAGTGCTGCCAGGCCCAGCACCCCAACCCGGGGTGGGGGGTGGGGCTCTGAGAACTGAAGGAAAGGCCCAGTTGGCTGTCTTCACTTGCAGGGATGCCAGGGAGTCGGGGACGCACTGCTGCCCACGCTTACCTGCACTGTTGAAGCCGCAGCCCAGGAAGAACCCACGGAGCTCGGGTGCCTCCCCCATCAGGGGCTTGTGGTCCGGTGTGAATGACTCTGAAAGGGAGGGGCAGGCCTGAAGCTCCCTCCCGGCCACATGCTCCTGGGTGGTGTCTCCCAAGAGGGCAGTAATTGAGGTGGGGGTGTGTAGGTGCCTCCTTCATCCAGACCCTCCCTATCCTCAAGACCCAGCTCAACGCTGCTTCCTCCAGGAAGCCTCCGTGATTGCTCCTGCCACATTCCCCTGAGTTCCTCAGCATTTACGACCTGAACTGGGTTCTGCCTTGGGGGGGTCCTGGTGTATCTCATGACTATCACCATTCTCCTGCTGGTGAGGGGCCGCTCCCTGAGCCCCCATCACTGCACGGGGCTCCCAGTCACTGTACCATCTTCCTGCTGTGTCACTGCAGGGCACTCTTGCCCACTGGACCACGAGTACCTTGAGGGCAGGGGCTGGGCTTTGCTCACTGTGTGCGGTGTCTCGAGGCCTAGCACAGGGCCCAGCAAACAGTAGGTACTTGATAAATGTTCACTGAGTGAATGAAGGATCGTAAGTTCTTTGGGAGAGGAGACCAAGTCTCTCGCTTCTGTCTGCTGCCAGCGTGCCGAGAGCAGAGGCCAGGACTGGAGGGCATAATGATGAAGAGCTGGACTTTGCAGCCACCGTCCTGGGTTCAAACCCTGCTTTACCCCTTCCCAGCGTGTGACCTTGGCTCAGAGCCGCCTTGATTTCCTCGTCTGTAAAATCCGGGTCAGGGTATTTACTTCACGGGGCTGTGAGTTAGTCGGTCTGCAAATATTTGCAGCCCACCTGTTTGTGCCCAGAACTCAGCCACGGGAGGTGGCTCCGCACAAGACCAGCCCCACCCCTCGGGGAGCCGACGGGAGAGTGAGAGGGACAGAGAGTAAATGGGTAAATAAGGGGAACAGGGAATGCCTGGGGAGAAAACACAGGGGGACTCTGGGCCTGGAGTGCCCAGAGGGCTGGCCGCTCCTAACCGCCCCCTGGCGCCATCATAACCCCGGGTCACAGAGGAGGACGCTGCACAGCAAGGAGCTGGGGCCGCTGGTCAGGGCTGCCTGGCTCCCAGCCGGGCCCTCAGCCGCCGTGTGCACTGGTCACAAGCGCTGTCTTTCTCCCTGCTGGTGACCGGCGACCCCGGTCTCCGATCTTCAGCGTCTGAGCTGAAGGAGGCCACCAGCCCTGGGAAGCTGGGGAGCCTCCCAGACAGCCACAGGGAGGGTGGAAGAAGCGGGGCGGAGAGGAGGGCGGGGCCTAGGGTGAGTCCCTGGAGGCCACGGTGACACTGGTGAGCCTCCGGGGGAGGCGTCAGGAGGGGCGACAGCCCTGTGAGGAAGCGTCAGGGGCCTCTCTGGGGACTGTGCGGAGGCCGGGCTGCAAGGGGCAGGCTGGGGACGGGGTGGGGGGCGGGGGGGGGGAAGGGGGGGGGGGGGCGCAGGGGGCGGCTCCCGCGACAGTGATGGGAGGATGCAGTTATGTTCGGGGATGACCCGGTGAGCACTTCGGGAGTGTTGTAAATGTTTCCACAACGTTCTGAGCAGCCTTACAGAAAGCCAGCAGGAGGGAAGTTTGGGGGTCAAGGTCGCCTGGGTGTTTAACAAATGACTCGAGAGGAGGCAGGATGCACGGGACAGGGGCCCCCACCTTGGCTCTGACCTCCCGACCTTGGAACGAGAGGTCTCCCCGCCCCCAGCTTCCCCGAAGTCAAGGGGGCCTGGGACTTCCCTGTTCTGCTCCGGAGGCCGAGGGTCGTTGACCGGCCTGTCCTCCCTGGTGAGAAGTGCTGATGTCCCCACGGAACCTCCCTCGCAGCTGGGAAACCAGACTCCACATGCACCTCCCCCCGAGTAGGGCTTCCTGGGGCCCATGACCCCCAGTCCAATTAAAGCGAGAATGCTCCCCGTGCCCCTGGGATTGCTTTGGGCCTGGGTTTCTCACTGCCAGCCCCACGCCGCCCCGGGAAGCTGCGGGGCAGTGAGCCCTCGGCTCTCACACCGCACCCTGTGCCCCAAGACCCTGGGCTTGGCCGGGGGACCCCAGCTGCCTCTCCCCGGAAAGCTGTCCTCTCACCAAAGGCTCTTTCATGAGCTGAACAGATTAAAGCAGTCGGGGCTGGCGGCTGTGCAGACACCGTGTGTGCCAGAACCAGGAAGCCTGGACTCCCCGTCAGTCCACAGGCTGGTGTCGGGACCCCTCCCCTCCCCCGGCCTGGCCTGCCCCTCACGCCCTGCTCGGCCTGTAGGAAAGGCTTTGACGGCCGGCCTGGGCCTTGCCCTGCAACCTAATGTGTGGCTTCCTCGCCTCACTCCGCCCGTCACCCATTTCACAGATGCGGACACCGAGGTTCAAGGAACTCAGAGCCTCAGACACAAAGTTTCCTCTTTGGGCAACTGTACCTTTCGGAACCTCTCTCCACCCCTAAGTAGGCACATCCTACCCGTTTCTTGCCTTTCTTGAGGATGAAAGCGATCCCATCCGTGCAGGAAGGAGGGGGTATGCCCACGTGTTTCTGCTGGAACCAGCCTGGGGTGGCGTGTCTCGCCCGCCCGGAACCCTGGCCTCGCAGCCCCCCACGGCACCCTCTGGGTGGCCCACCCTGCTCGCACCACCCCTGTACCTCCTGCCCTCAGCCCCGCAGCTGAAACGTCTGGGCCCCAGGGCCAGCTTGGGCCCCTCTATGCCCAGAGGCCACTGTCTGCCAGGACCCCAGGCCAGCAGCCTCACCCCTGCACCCCAGTGCCGTCACACGGGAACGTGCTGCCCCCCTGTCCCGAGCCCACCCGCCTTGGGTTCCAGCTTCGGGAGCTCCGCCCAGCCTCCCACACAGGCTCCCCCGCTGCGCTCCCCACGTGCCCGGGCACGAGGCAGGCGCTCAGCCGTCAGAAGGAGCTGGGCGGATGCTGTGCGAGCTCCCCCACACCACATCCCCGCTGACGTTGTCCCGGGCTTGAATCTTATTCTAGAACCTTCTCCATCTGCACACAGCCTTTGAGACGCTCAGCGTGCCTGGGCCTCCCCCACCCTGGGGTCCCTGAGCTCCCTGGGCAACCCCAGGATTGCCCTCTCTCAGGCTCCGTCGTCGAGCGGTCATCTCTCCGTGCTGAGCTGTGAGTGACCCGTGCTGGGACAAGTCACATCAGTTTGAATGTCCAAAGTCTAGCCTGGCCGGAAGGCCCTAAACAATAAACTAGTGGCCTTGGCCAAACGTGTCAGTGCTGGGGGTCCGAGTCCACCCCACCTGGTGTTCGATCCCCGTGGGCACCGACCGGCCAGGCAGGGTCAGGGGCTGCACCGTGCATACCCAAGGGGGGCACTGGAAGCTGAGCCACTCTGTTCTCCCCCTTTCCCTCCAGCTTCCTGCAGCTCAGCTTTCCCGGGGGCCAGAGGGGAGGCACCGGCTTGGGCCTTTCCATGCTGTGTGGGCGTGTGGCCCTGCTGGCCTGCCTGCCGAGGGCAGAGGGCAAAGGGGGCGAGGCTGACCTGGAATGGGGGTCTGCAGACCTGTGAGGACGGCATCAGGGAGGAGCTTGGCCCTGCTCTCCATGCTCAGCCTCACCAGGCGCTGGGAGGGCGCCCATCCCACCTTACGGATGAAAACACCAAGTTCCAGGGAAAAGTCAAGCAGGGATTGAGCCCGGCGGGACCTCAGGAGGGACTCACGCGGGCGTGGACGGGAGGAAGCCTGGCCGCGTGCCCGTGGGCGGACTTCTGCCCTCACCGAGCTCACGTCCTTTGCCTGCAGAGAAGAGCGAGCGCAGCACCCGAGGCCCAGGACGGAGGGACGGCCGGCGCGCGCCCGGCGCAGGCCAGCCTCAGGGGGCAGCCCCCCGCCGGCTCCAGGCCCCCCACTCACCTGGGCCGCAGACTGTGGACTTAATCCCCGTTTTCTCCAGCACGGGGACCCGGTTGACGGCACCTTCAATGTGCTGGGTGAACACATCCCAGTCCAGGTCGAAGAGGCCAAAGGCAAACTTGTCCGACACCTGGGGAGGCGGGCCGGGAACTGCCCTGTGACAGCGCCCCACGGGAGCGAGAGCCAGGCAGGGCCTGGCAGGGCCTGGCCAGCCTCTCCATTAGGTGGTGACAGCGCTGGGCTGGTCCCGCAGTGTGTCTCCCCTCCCCGACCCCTCAGCGGCCCGTCTGCGCCCCCTTCCCGCCCTGCCCCAGGCCCGCCTGCTCTGCCCGGTCTCCCTGCCTCCCGCCCTCCTTCACCCCATTCACCTAAGTCAGATCGGCCCTACGTGAGCGGACCCTGCCCACGTCTGCCACCAACCCACAGCCACGCTGACCTTCCTTCGGGTCTTCGGGAAAAGCAAGCCTGATCTGACCTCAGGGCCTTCACCTCCACCTGGGGCAGCTCCTCCCCCGCCTTCTGTCTGCAGGGCTCTCTGCTGACGTCAGCTCCTCAGGGAGCCCTGCCCGACCACCGTCCGAAGGACATCCTTCCACGCCAGTCTCGCTAGGCTTATCCTCAACCTGCTAACTTCACTCGGGGCACAGACCATCCCAAATCGCATTACTTCTTTGCTTACTTACTGTGTGTCTCCCCACCAGAATAGAGGCCTCTGGGGACAGGGACTCTTATCTTGGTCTCCCTCTCCCCAGAGTTAAACAGTATCTGGCTGAAAGGACTCATCTTGTTGTTCAATTTGTAGACTAAATGCAGGAGTACGGGAGCTGGGGTGGTCCGTACATGCTCGAGGGGGCTGGGGGGTGCTGAGGGGGCCGCTGGCCCTGCATGAACCCCAGGAGCTGCCGGCAGAGCAGCCCAGGCTGGAGGGAGATACAGCCGCAACCACGGGGGGTGGGGGAGGGCATGGGATTGTTTGTTGATGGACAGAGGGCTTCAATGCTTTCATAATCTTCTAAAGTCATTATTTCACACTTTGCAGCCTCTGATGATTGATGTTTTGAGGCAAGCCCTCCACCTGCCCCGAGTCTGGATCTGCCTGTGTGCCAGGTTCTTCAGGGGTTGGAAAAAATGGGTTTGACCTTGACCTTGTGGGATGGGGGACCTGCCACTCCTCAGGTAAGCCCCCAGGGTCGGGGGAGCTCTGGGGGGACAGTCTCCGGAAGAAGGCTCCTCCACGCTGAGATGCAGCCCCAACCCCTCCCTCGAGCCCTGGTGTCTCACCTCCTCCCAGAAGATGGGGTTGGTCTCGTAGCCGCCCACGGACAAGGCGTCCCCTTGGAGGCGGAGGTAGATGGAGGCGTCGTGGTCGCGGACGTTGGGCATGTTCTGCAAGGTGGAGCACAGAGGCCTCGGGGTCAGGGTCACAGACCCAAGCTGGGCCCACGGTGCCACCTCCTCGTTGTAGGACCCTGAGGACAGGGTGGACCTGGGGCCTCTGCGTCACACAGTGGACAAACCACCCCACTGAAACCCCATAAGATAGCAGCAAAGATGGAAGGGCGGAGGGAGGGAAGAGAAAAGGGTAACCCACGGAACACAGCAGACGGGGGATCTCAGCCAACACCGGAGGTGCAGAGTGGATGGGGGAGGGCCAGCGCCTTAGCTCAGGGCTGGGAGAGGGGAGTCAGTTTGCCAGCCTCTGTCCAGTCCCCTCCAATCTGCAAAGGCCGAGCCTAGGGCAACCCCAGGTCCCTCTGCAGGGGGCGGTGGGCCGAGTGTGTACGTGTGCATGCACGCATGTGTGTGAGTGTGCATGTGTGTGTGAGTGTGAGAGAGAGTATGTGCGTGGACGTGAACAGGAAGTTGGACTAGGGTCTCTTCAAAGCAATTGGACCCAGATCCCTTCCATCCCCGCTGCGTGCAGCCCAGGGCCTGGCCCTACCCTGCAGGGGCCCTGAGGTCTGTCTCTGGAGAAATGGGTCCCCAGGGGCTCCAGGCTCCGGGGAGGTGAGAAGCCGGCTGCCATCCCCCCTCGACAACAGACTGGAGAGTCTTCTGTGGAGACACTGAGTGGTCTGGGGAAGACTCCAGACGCTGACATGGAGGTCCCTCACCAAAGAGAAGGGCATTCAACAGAAGGACTGGATAAGGCCAAGGACATCTTCCAGATATTAGGCTAAAACAGATTAAGGCATGGAAATCAGGAAAGGGACAAAAATAAGAAAATTAGAAATTCAATCCTGAAAGTCCAATGTCCACCTTGCATGGGTTCCAGGAAGAGAAAACAGAGAAAATGGAGTAGAAGGAAAGTCAAAGCAAAAATCCAAGATGATTTCTCCGACTGAAAATCATGAATCTCAGTATTGAAGGGCCCACAAGTGCCCACCAAGCCCTGTGACTGGACCAGGCCTGCACCAAGGCCACATCAGGATGGAACATCCGGTGAACGGGTGGGTCCTAAACAAAGAAACAGCATTCCTGGAGGCTGAAGACCTGGAACAAAGTCCTCAAAATTCTGAAAGATGATTTTAAATACAGAATTCTCGACCCAGTCAATTCGTCAAACGACTGTAAGAAAGAATAAAGATTTTCTTCAGACATTCACGGACACAAAAACGTTTACTTTCCAAGTACCCTTCTCAGTAAGTGGCCAGAGACCATATGCCACGGATCCGGAGAGCAGCAGATCCAAACAGAAGATGGGTGAGGAAGGTCCCAGGGTAACAGCCGGTCAGAGGCTGATGGAGAAGATAAGAAGGCAGCAGGAGGAGTCCTTCAGGGGAGGGGAATGGGACTTACAGACTTTATGGGATTTCTCTGCCATGTATGAGTATGCAGAAAATATTACTGATATGGACTTCCCTGGTGGCGCAGTGGTTGAGAGTCCGCCTGCCGATGCAGGGGACACGGGTTCGTGCCCCGGTCCGGGAGGCTCCCACATGCCGTGGAGCGGCTGGGCCCGTGAGCCATGGCCGCTGAGCCTGTGCGTCCGGAGCCTGTGCTCCGCAACGGGAGAGACCACAACGGTGACAGGCCTGAGTACCGCAAAAAAAAAAAAAAGAAAAAACCCGAAAATATTACTGATAGGTGTTTGACAGATCTGTTGAGATGTTTGGGGGAAAATTGTGACAGTGATGAATACAGATGCAAATATCCTTGACAAAATACTAGGAAACTGAATCCAGCAACATAGAAAAAGGATTACATACCATGACCAAATGGGATTTATCCTGGGAATGCAAGGTTGGTTTAACTTCTGAAAATCTGTGTAATATACCATTATCAATAAAGGACAAAATCCACTAATTACTTCAATAGATGCAAAAAAAGCATTTGACAGATAAAACACTTTCATGATAAAAACATCCAATGTCTAGGAATAGAAGGGAACTTCCTGATAAAGAATATCTGAGAAACACCCACAGCAAATGCCTACTTATTTGCAGTCTTTCCTCTAAGACCAGGCCAAGAGAAGGAGGTCCACTGTCGCCACTGCCATTCAACATTGTACAGGAGGTCCTGGCCAGGGCAGGAATCAGGCAAGAAAGAGTAATTAAAGGCAACCAGAGGGAAAAAAAGTGAAACTATCTCTAGGTGCAGATGACATGATCTTACATAGAGAAAATCCTAACGACCCCACTAAAAACTATTATAACTTATAAAATAGTTCAACAAGGTTGCAGGATACAAGGTCAATATACAACAAGCAGACAAAACCCACTGTATTTCTATATACCAGCAGTGAACAATCAAAAATGAAATTAGGAAAATAAAAAAATTAGGAAAATAATTCAATTTACGATATCGAAAATAATAAAATGCTTACAAATAAGTTTAACAAAAGAAGTGCGAAACTTGTACTCTAAAAACTAGAAGATGCCTTTGAAAGAAATTAAAGAAGATGTAAATAATGGAAAGACCTCTCAGGTTTACAAAATGAAGACTTACTATTGCTAAGATGACAGTACCCCCCAAACTGATCTACAGATTCAACACAGCTCCCACCAAAATCTCAGCTGGCTTCTTGGCAGGAGTTGACAAGCTGACCCTAAAATTCATATGGAAGTGCAAGGGACCCAGAATATTCAGAGCAATCTTAAGAGAAGAACAAACACGGAAGACTTACACTTCTGATTTCAAAACTTACTACAAGGTTAATATAATCAAGACAGAGTGGTCCAAACATAAGGATAGACATATATAGATCAACGGAATAGAACTGAGAGTCCAGAAATAAACCCTCACACTTATGGTCAATTGATTTTCCACAAGGATGCCAAGGCAATTCAATGGGGAAAAGGATACTCTTCAGCAAATGGTGCTGGAACACCTGAATCGCCTCCTGCAAGAGCACGAAGTTGGACCCCTTCCTCACGCCACACACAAAATTTAACTCCAAATGTGTTGGAGACCTAATTATAAGAGCTAAGACTATAAAATTCTTAGAAGAAAATACGGGAATAAAACTCTGTGGCCTGGTTTAGGAAATGCCTTCTTAAATATGATACCACAAGCACAAGGGACAAAAGAAAAAATTACATAGGTTGAAATTACTTCATCAAAATTAAGAACTTTTGTGCTGCCAATAATACCAACAAGAGAGTGAATAGACAACCCACAGAACGGGAGAAAATGTTCGCAAATCATATGCCTGATAAGGGACTTGTATCCAGAATACATGAGCTCTTATAGTTCAATTGAATGGCAATCCAATTAAAAATGAGCAAAGTATCTGAACAGAGGTTTCCCCAAAGAAGATATACGTATGGCCAACAGGCACATGAAAAGACACTCAACGTCATCACTCGTTAGGGAAATGCAACTCGAGCCACAAGATACCACTTCACACCCACTACGATGGCTAGAATCAAAAAGATAGACAATAAGAAATATTGCTGAGAATGTGGAGAAGTCAGAACCTTCACACACTGCTGATGAGAATGTAAAGCAGTGCAGCTTCCTTGGAAAACAGGCTGACGGTTCCTCAGAAAGTTCAACATAGAGTTACTCTATGACTCAGCAATTCCACTTCCACCCAAGAGAAAGGAAAACATACGTCCACACAAAAACTTGTACATGAATGTTCATAGCAGCATTATTCACAATAGCCAAAAAGCGAAAACAACCCACATGTCCATCAACAGACGAATGGATAAATAAACTGTGGCTTACAAGAGTATATTATTCAGCCATAAAAAGGAATGAAATTCTGCTACATGTACCACATGGATGAACCTTGACAGTGTCATGCAGAGTGAAAGAAGCCAGACACAGAGGCCACAAATGGTATGATTCCATTTCATTCAAAGTCCAAACCAGGAAAATCCGTAGAGACAGAAATTAGATTAGTGACTATCTAAGCTGAGGGTGGGGTGGGAAATGGGGGCTGATAATGTGTGTGGGGTTTTAAGGACTAAGATAATGTTAGATAGACAGACAGACAGGCAGACAGATAGACAGATAGACAGACAGACAGATAGACAGATAAATAGATAGACAGACAGACAGATAGATAGACAGATAGATAGACAGACAGACAGATAGACAGGCAGACAGATAGATAGACAGACAGACAGACAGATAGATAATGATAGAGATAGATAGATGATAGATAGACAGACAGACAGATAGGTAGACAGACAGATAGATAGACAGACAGACAGATAGATAGATAATGATAGAGATAGATAGATGATAGATAGACAGACAGATAGGTAGACAGACAGACAGATAGGTAGATAGACAGACAGATAGATAGACAGATAGATAGACAGAGAGATGATAGATAGATAGATACATGATAGAGATAGATAGATGATAGATAGATGATAGAGATAGATGACAGAGATAGATAGATGATAGAGTTAGATAGATAGATTGATTGATTGATAGAGATAGACAGATAGATAGATGATAGATGACAGATAGATAGACAGATGGATAGATAGATAGGAATAAAGAATTAGTCACAGCTACATAGGAAACTGAACAACCAAAAAAAAAACTATTAATAACTCCAGGAAACACGAAAAGTTGGACACTATTTGCTCAGGAGTTAACAATGTTCTCATTGTCATTATACTGCAAATACTACTGATTTAACCAATAAATGAATGGATAAACAAAACCAAAGCATTTTAGAAAGTGAGCAGAGTGGGAAGAGGCCCACCCCCACAGGGGTCCTCAGCACTGGGGGAACTGCTTCCTCTCAACCCTGCTCTCCGGTGCCCTTGCCCTGGAGGTGGACACATCTGATGTGACCCCTCCACTCCACCTTCGAGGACACGCAGAGACCAAAAGGGATAACCTGGCAGATGCCCCTCCCTGCTCCTCCAGTCTCCTAGTGGCCTGGCTCCCCTGCAGAGCTGGACTAAGCATGTCTGCACTGATTGCAAGAAGGCCCCCGGGAAGCTCTCAGTAACCGAGCACTTCAGGAATAATAATAGTGAGAGGTTACCTCTGCTGTCACTACCACTCTAAAAACAAAACCAACAGAATGCCAGAGCTCCATAGAGCAGGAGAGCGGGGACACCTGCTGGCCAGGGAAGCCCCTGGCTTTCGTCCAGCAGGATCAGGGTCCCCATCTCCCTGCCTTGCAAGGCCCCAGCTGCCCCAGAGTGGCCAGCACAGGCTCAGCTCAGCCCCAAGGCATCCACAGGGTACCCTCACTGCTTCCTCCCTCCGGAAGCCCACCCTATAGGTGTAACACCAATTCCACTGGTGTCTCTGCCTCCTAATCTCAGCCCGTTCCTTCCATCTGCTTCTCCCGGCCCCATCTCCATCCAAATCTTGTCAGCTGCTTCCTCCAGGAAGCCCGCCCGATGGCGCCAGCCTTCCCTGCTCTCTTCCTCTGAAGCACCAGCTGGCTGGACCATCCCATGCCCTTAGTCACGGTCGGTCATCGTGGCCCTCACCTAATGAGCCCCTGCTATGTGCCAGGCACTGCGCTCAGCCCTTCAGCCCATCACTTGGTTCCTCCCTCAGCACCGCCCTAAGAGGTAGCTACCATTTTTACCCATTTGGCAGAGAAGGAAACTGAGGCTCAGGTGGCACCTTGACTCACCTGGCTGGGTAATGGGGGAGTTGGGATGCAGAGCCTGAGCACGGGCCCTCTCCCATTGCTCTGTGCCCCAACAGAGCAGTTTCTGCAAAAGTGGGTCGAGGATAGCGGGGATGCGAGATCATGAGGGAGCATCTGGGCCACCACGTTTGACAGACGCAGAGGCCAGGCCCAGAGAGGAAAGGGACAAGGTCACAGAGGAGCTGGGGGCAGCATTCGGCTAGGACCCAGGACGGGGACGGCTTCTCAGAACTGGGGTCCCTAGGGCAGCACAGCCCTCTGGCCACCCATAAAGAAAGATAAAGGGCATGTGGTCCAGGTGGCAAAGCCCTGAGCCCTCACTGGCCAGCCCGGGGCCAACACCACGAGGCCCAGATCTGGGCAGTTAGTGTCCTGCTGCAGGACTGTCAACCCAGGGAGCGACCCGAGCAGCGGAAGACAGGCCCAAGTGTCAGGGGCCTCCCAGCATGAGCCGCAGAGCCCTGACTGCAGGAGCTGCCGTGGCCTAAAGGAGCTTGTTTTCTGACCCACCATGGCATCAGACCACGTGGGAGGTCAGGGTCAGAGGCCTGCCCTTCTCCCAGATTCAGGCTGCCCAGGTGTGGCCTCAGGAGAGGCTGGCCTCCCAGACTCCCCACGTGGAGGGGAGCATGGGGAACTTGGCCCCCAGCCCCAAATCTCCTCTTTTCTCCTACAGAAGTCTCATAGATTCTGGGGCTGGTGGCCCTTTCCTGGAGCGCAGCCTGGGGTTCCCAGGACACACAGGTTGCTGGGTGAGGGCAGTGTTTGTGAGTTACATGAATAACCCCAGCCTGGCTCTGACCTTAAAATTCAGGGTGCGGGTCCCTGGGCCCAGAGTGGGCCCTGCTTCTCCCTGAAAGCCGCCTCAAAGCTGGGCATCCTGCGCACCAGGACACGGAGAGACTGAGGCCCCAGTCCTGGGCTCTGTAGGACACAGCCCTGCTCTGCCCCCAGCCTGTCCAGCCCCCGAGAGCCCACTGCAGCCTGAGGGCGACCCCTGGCGGCCGCGGGGGATATTTCCCACAGAACCAGGGCCAGGGACTCTTTGCACCAACAGCTGCAGTGATGCCTCTTTCCCCAGAGCCCCACCCGGAGGGCACACAGCAGCCCTGGGGAGGACTGTGTGCTGGATTGTATTAAACTCTTCCACGAACGGGGGAACCTTGTGTGTGTGTGTGGGGGGGACAAGAGCGGCGGAGACTCCGGCCCCGCGGCAGCTTCCCTCACCCCTCCACCACTGGGTCCACCCAGCGGCCAGCCTGGTGACCAGAGGGAAGCCAGGCTTGTCCAGGGCAGCGGTGAGGCCCCCAGGCCCCTCTTTGCTGGAGCCTGACCCTAAACAAGGCCAGTCTGGTCTCTCACGCTCTCCCCACACCCACACCCTCAGGCCCGCTTCCCTGAACTGCCTGCAGCGCCCCGGCCGCCAGGCTCTGCGTCCTCCCCTTCTCCCCCTCGTTCTTTCTCTGCCACCCTTCAGATGCCTCAGAAGACCCTTCAGACATGGCCTCCGCCAGGGCACCTCCCTGGTCCACAGGCTGGGAGTCCCTATAGCCCCTGTGCTTGCCCCCCTGGGAGCCCCTGTCAGCCTGTTTTAAAATAAATAATACCTTTACTTGTTTGTACCCTTCCCCCAGCTCACCTGGGCGAGAACTAGGTTCTTATCTCTGTTATAGTCCCAGTTTCTACATGAGGGCTTGGAGCACAGAGCTTATCCAGTGAATGTTTGATGCAGAGAGGGGTGGGGAGGGAGGGTTAGATGGACTAATAAACGGAGGGATGATGGAGGAATGGGTGAAGGGAGAGATGAATGGGTAGAGGGGGTGATGGCTGGATGGATACATGAGAGAAAGGACGGACAGATGAATGGATGGATAAATAGATGAATCAATGGATGGATGAAGGGCTAGAGGGAGGGAGGGATCGGAGGAGGGATGAATGGATGCAGGGATGGCCAGAGGAACAGAGGGAAGGAAATGAGTGGAGGGATAATGGATGGAGGGAGGGATGGGGAAGAGGCTGGAGGGAAAGAGGAGTGGTCAGTGACAAGGCAACAGGAAGCCACCCGCCACCAGCACAGGAGAGGGGAGATAGAAGGGGAGCAGAGGGGAGGTAGAAAGGGAGGAGAGGGGAGGTAGAAAGGGAGGAGAGGGGAGGTAGAAAGGGAGGAGAGGGGAGGTAGAAATGGAGGAGAGGGGAGATAGAAAGGGAGGAGAGGGGAGATAGAAAGGGAGGAGAGGGGAGATAGAAAGGGAGGAGAGGGGAGATAGAAAGGGAGGAGAGGAGAGAGGGCAGGGGGCACACAGCTCCCCTCTCCCCCACCGCCTCCTCTGGCAGAGGTGTCTCCAGGGCTCCCTGGGAGGTTCTGAGGGCCAGGGATCAATGTCCTCTGAGACTGGCACCCAGGGCACATTTGGGAGCATGCGAACATTCAGAGGTTCCCAGAAACACCTGGGGCACAGAACATGGCAAAAGCCAGACTGGCCGCACCATGCAGGATGGGCTTGGGCATCAATGAGAAGCCATGCTCCGAAGGCGAAGGGGGTCGGGACCCTCGGGTGATGCCTGTGCTACTTCATTTCATTCTCAGGCCACCCAAAACCTCCAGTCATGAGGAGTCCCATTTCACAGATGAGGCCACTGACGCTCAGGGCAATGAAGGAACCTACAAGTGTTGGGCTTCACAGCCAGGTCCGTGCACCACCCACTTGGTGCCTGGGGCCGTCTACTCACCTGGATCCCTTCAATGCGCTCGGTGACGACGTAGGCATGGTGCATGGCCACCAGCGGGACCTTGACGCCAGCCATCCGGCCCACGGCGCCTGCCCACACTCCTGCAGGCAGAGCACAGACAGCTCTGCTGGCACCTGGCGGGGGCCAGCCAGCTGGGCGCCTCTGCAGGCCTGTCTGCCATGGCAGTGACTCCCCAGGTCACGCCTGGGCCCCCACCCCTAAGAAAGGCCAGGTTTAGGGAGCAGCCGGGGTGGCCACTTGGGAGCCCAGAAGAAACGTGTTCCCACCTGCACAATTGACCACGCAGGGCGTCTGGATGGAGCCGTGCTCTGTCTCCACAGCCTCGACCCGCCGCACCCCAAAATCATCCGTCCGCACACTGATGCCGGTCACCGGGCAGTTCTCGATGACCTGAGAGCGAGAAGAGCTGCTTCCAAAGCCATGTGGGCGCTCTGAGCACTGACCACCTACCCTCTCCTACCTCCAGCCCAGGCGGTACCCGGGACACCTGCTTCTGCTCAGGCAGGCTTCATGTGACCCCACTGGGGAAATGGGGTGACCACAGGGTGGAAACTAACTCCACGTGTTCCTTGACTTGAAGAACTCGTCCCCCCAGACAGAGGCTTTTTTTGAGAAAAAGAAAAGAGAAGGAGGGCTCATTTGACTGACAGGTGCTTGCGGTAAAAGGTCACATACAGTGCAGTTTGTCTCCATTTGACTTACATATACATCTTCATAGAAAAGTACTTGCAGTAAAACTACAATGTCAACATTGGTTACCTCTGGGTGATCCTCATTTCTCCTGTCTTGCTTATTTGTCTTTTCTAATCTTTCCTACAACTATGTGTGTATTCGAGACAAAAGAAGATAAAATTTACAAGAAGAGATTTGGGGCGGGTTCACTCTTCCAGCAGGGCCAGACCTCGGGGAAGGGAGGAGAGCTGACCTGGGGGACAAACCTGAGGCCGGCCGGCCTCTGCAGGATCGGATTAGAGGCTCAGGTCCTATGTGGAGCAGAGAGAACGGCACGTGTTCTCTTGCCTTCTGGTCTTGGGGTTCTTAGGCAGGAGGGGTGGGCTGGGAGCAGGGGACCCAGGGCCGTAAGGCCATTGTACCTGTGCTCCGCGGGCAGTGGCGGCCCTGGTGAGGGCGGTACAGGTGCCGGCGGGGTCCATGGTGCCATCATGAGGCACGTACAGGGTCCCGTAGAGGTCATCCACATTCATCAGCGGATACAGTGCCTTGGTCTCTGCCGGGCTCAGCACGTGGGACTCCACACCATAGGCCTTGCCCAACTGGGAGACCCAGAGGAAAGTACTTGAGCCCTCGGGGAGCAGACCCCCTTGGCCACTCTCCTCCCCATCTGGGCCTCCAAGGGTCAGTTCAGACCCTGTGTCCCCCAGGAACCCTTAGCTGGCCACCGTGCCCCAGCGGCCCCCGTCCCTCGGGCCAGCTCCGAGGAAGAGTAAGGAGCCCGGGTAGTGCTCGGAAGCAGGCTCTGGGGCCCTCCCGCCTCCCCCATCCAGCTCTAACATGAGCCATGCGACGTGGGGCAAGTTGCTAACGTCACCTGGGGGAACGGGGGTGATAATGGTTTATGGGGTTGACACCTTTAAAGAGCTTAGACCAGTCCCTGGCACATAAGGATTTACTGTATAACATAAATAAAAATAATCCCCGTAGGTCTGATAGTCTGAGTTTCAACCAGGTTTGATGGTCAGACCAGCTCCCCAGACGAGAGACCGCTGCAGTCCTCGGTCCCAGGCCCCGGACTGTGTGACAGACCACACCCCCGGCTCATTTGATTGGCCCAAGGGCAGCCAATCAAATGCCCCCAGGCATCCATCCATCGGGACAGGCTCCGCCCAACTAGAGATGAGCTGAGCCAATCAGGTTCTCTCTCCGAGCAGTGGGAATGAAAAGCTGCAGAGACCTCACTCAGGACTTGAGCTGAAAGGTTGCCTGGGCACCTTTGGAGCCTCCATCGCAGCTGATGAGTGAGCAAGGCGGCGGGGGGGGGGGGGGGGGGGGGGGGGGGGGGGGGAGTAGGCAGAATGAGGCCGCCTCCTAACCCCAGAGACCCAGCCCGTTCTAATGAAGCCAGGTGCCGCTGCTTCCGCCTGGGCAGAGGCACTCGGCATCCCTGTGACAATGTACCTCTGCTACCCACACAGGCATCTCTGCTCGCTGGGCCCTGAGCCGCTCTTCAGTTGGTGCTCAATAAGGAATGAACTGCTGGAGGAGCCAGTCTCAGCCACGCCCTGGAATTTGGGGTCCGGGCCTGGCTGCCCTGGGTGAAAAATCAACTCTCCACCCCAGCAGAGGGCCTTCCACAGCGGAAGGCTTTCTCTGCCGTCTCGCCCACAATGGCGTTCCCTCAGCCCCGGCAGCGGTGCCGGGAGAAGGGTGGTCCTTCCTCCTGGGGACTGCAGTTTCTCATCATGCATCCTGACTCCTGTGAGCACCGTGCCTGCCGATGACTCCCGGTTATCGGGCCTCTCCTGCCCTGAGGCTCGGCAAACGGTGCTGCGCAACGCAACGGTCCCATTTTAAAGGCGAGGATGCCGAGGCTCGGAGGCAACGCCGCTTGGCCCAGGTGGCCCGACCAGCAAGGCCAGCACCAGGGCTTGAACCCAGATCTGTCGGGGCTCCTTCCCTGTGCTACGCTGCCCCACCCACCACCGGCAGGGGGGCACACACCAACACGAGCCGCTCACTCGCCCGGGCGGGAGTGCACCCAGGACATGAGTCCCCGCCCTGGCAGGGGTGCACCCACCGACATGAGCCTCTTGTACTCATCCAGACGCTGCCGGTTGGACGCGATGAACAGGCCCCCGTTCTGGATCCAGCCCGTGTGCAGACCCGTCTCCTCCCCCAGGTCGCGGCTCACCACGCGCCTCGTGTGGGCCAGAAGCTCCACCTCCACGTCGCTAGGCCGCAGCTGCCACAGCAGGCCTGGCGGGGGAGGGGCGGGGCGCCGTCAGCCCCAGCGCTGCAGTGCGGCACCCCCGCTCCTCCCAGCAGGCCCGGGCTCCTGAAGACCAGGCCGTGGGCAGGGAGCGTCTCTGCAGGCCGTGGAGAGCCCCGAGCGGCTGATGAGCCGGAAGTGACGGGGTCAAAGCTGAGTTCCAGGACGTCGCCCTTGGGCAGCTCAGAGCGCGACGATACCCAAGGCTGCCATTTATGGAGCACCTCCTGTGTACTGAGCCTATCACTGGGTGACAGAGCAGTCCTGGGAGGCAGGCGTGACTATTTTATAGTGAAATTAAGGTGGTACCAAACGGCTCTGTGCCCAGGATCACAGGACGGGTGATGATGGGGCGGGACCCCAACCCAGGACTGACTGAGGTCCAAAGGCAGCCCCTTCACCAGCAAAGCTGCTCCCTTCCGAGCAGAGTTTGGGGAGCGGGGGGCCAGGGGAGAGGTAGCAGTGGGGGAGAGGCTGTGTGGGCCCAGCCGAGACAGGACGGTGGGTAGGCAGGGGCAGTGGCGTGCAGGGCCGGCTGTGTCAGCTCTCAAGACACGTGATGCCTGAACCTCTTCTCAGCTCCACATCCAGCGACATCAGGCTCACATTGGCCAAAGTGGGAGTGTTTTCCCCACAGAGCCTGGCAAACTCAACACAGGGTTAAGGCAAAAGGTTGGCTGCCCTGGGGACGTGTGCACAGTAGGTGCTTTTACTATATGCCCACTGGCTAGCTGGCTGAGAACCATGGTGCCCACGGAGGACACCCCCTGATGGCCCCTTCCCCGTCCATCCTCTGCACCCCGTGGACGGCGCTCACCCCGGGTAGCTCCGTCCAGGGAAGGGGCTTCTGCTCTTTGAATGCACAGCTGCCTGGGCTCCCAGCTCTGGTCTCTGCTCTGCCCTCCAGGATCCCCCAGTCAGTGTCTGCTCCCTCCTCCCCTCCGCAGCTCTTCAGAGACTCAGGGGGCACGCAGGCTCACCCTCAGAAGGACCCCGCGTCTTTTCCCCATGTCCTCCCCTCCCTCAGCTGCCTCTAACAGGCCTCCGGCTGCCAACCCAGAGCTGGCCCCTGGCTGAGTCCCATCCCTCCCGCCCCCACGTGCACCCAGGCCCCTACCTGCCGTGTGCCAGGTGGTCCCGGAGGTCAGCCGCTCCCGTTCCAGTAGCACCGCCCCGCTCACGCCCAGCTTGGCCAGGTGGTAGAGGGTCTGGCAGCCCAAGCTGCCCCCGCCGATGACCACCACATTGGCTGTGCTGGGCAGGGGCCGGCTTGGGCCCTGGGCGCCTGCCCGGGGGTCCCGGGCCTCTTTCAGGGTCTGCTGGTAGGGCACACTCTTCTCAGGGCTGGGCCGGGCCCCGCTGCTCAGGAGTCGCAGCCCCAGGCCCTGGGCAGGGCTCCGGCGAGGACAGGTGGCGGCCACACGCAGGGCTCGGCTCAGCAAGGCCATGGGGACTCGGCTCGAGCACCGCAGGGAGCTGGGGAGGGAATCGGGGCTGCCTGGGGCACAGAGGCTCTGTGCAAGTGAGCCCCGGGCCCCGCGCTGTCACCCTCCGGCCGTCCTCCTGCCGCCCACCCACGTCACGTGTGCACCCGTGCATTTGTCCACATGTACTGAGGGCCTCGTACGCTACAGGCTCTGGCTGGGCCCAGGGGAGACCACGGTGGGGGCAGAAGGGGGGGCAGTGTGCGTGGCGGGGCAGGGCTGCAGGGCCACAGGGTGGGTGGCGGGGAGCCTGGGGCAGGGACACCCAACCCTCCAGCCTGTACCCAGCACGCCCTCCGGGGCAACTCCCGTCTCAGCCCCGGACAGAAGTTATTTCTGCCACGTTGACTCCACAGCCCTTTGGGACCCGAGGCAGAAGGTGAGCAACGCAGCGGCGTCCAAGGCCCCGGCTCCCTCGGGCCATCTCGAATCCAGGTAGGGACTCGGAGGATGGGCAGCCAGCCTCCCTCCTCCTCAGTGACCTCCCAGTAGCCTGCAGGGCTCACCTTGCATCCCTCCCCGGTCAGAAGAGCCTCATAATTCTAAGAAGAAAACTGTGACGGGGACCGACCTTCTAAGGAGACAGGATGCAGCAGATGTGTCTCCCGGAGGCGAGGAACACAGGGGAAAGGACGCCTCAGAGAGGCTCCTGGGCCCACTCGTGGGATCAGCAGGAAAAGTAAGAGAGGTTTGGCTGTGGTCGAGGGACTGAGGTGGGTCCCGCACCTATGTTCATAGCCATGATTGATATCAATTAGCCAGTTAATTAAGACCACTTCCATTTCCAAGCATGTGTCACATGGCAAGCCGGGAACACGCGTTCTCTCTGCTCGGAAGTCAAGATGACTGTTGTCCCCATTTCACGGAGGGGGGAGACTGAGGCCCAAGGAGGCCCGCCAAGGTGACCAAGGTCACAGGGCCGCCGTGTGGCCAAGCCTGCTGGCTGTCCTGCCCCCTCCCAAACTCCCAGTCCGCAGACATCTCGGGGCCTGGTCTGGGGGAGGAGAGGCTGGGGGGGGACCCACTGCCACACCCTTTCTCGCCCACTGCACCCCCTCCGCTCCCCCGCAGGCACCCGGGCTCTCAGGTTGGTCAGGGCTGCCCTGCCCTCACCACAGAGACCCCCCCCCCAGGGGGTAGGGGCAGAGGAGGGAGCAGGCAGCGGTGATTTGAGGGGCTTCGGGGTGGGGGGTTGGAGGCTGGGGCCGGGCACCCCAGTCCCTCCATCAGCTCTGCCCCGCTTCAGGCGCCCTGGGCACGGGGAGGTGCAGCCCGGCTCGTGTCTGCACTTACCTTTCGTCCTTGGATTTCCTTAACCTTCCAGGAGGCGCCAACAGTGAGGACCTACTGTCGGAAACTCAGCGTCACGTGGGTGCCCAGGAAGCCTTTCCAAGGCCAGGCATCTGCCCACCCCCTGCCCCGCCCCCTCCTCCTGGCCTCCGACCCAGACTCCTTCTTCCCTCCCCCTGTGCCAACGCGGGGGCTGCCACGTGCTGCCACGTGCCCCTTCCCGGCGCATGGCCAGTCCCGTTCTCCCACCCAGGCTGGGGGTAGAGGGGGCACGGCCCCAGCAGGGGCAGCCCAGTGCCCTCCCGCCAGGGCAGCTGCTTCCACATTGATCTGCACTTCTGCCCCCTCCAACTCTCTCCCACCCGAGTCCGCAGCCTGACCATTCATTGCCAGGGTTCGGGGTCAGACAGACCGGGTTGGCCTCGTGCTGTTAAGCGGGGCGGCCCAGAGAAGCCCTCCCCGCAGGCGGTAGGATGACGGGCCCGGGGGTGGAGGGATGGAGGGAAGGTCCAGGCACAGGCCTCAGCAGGAGAAGAAGGGCTGGGAGGGTGCCCAGGCCCCCTGGCCTCCCCCAGAGTGTCCCATGGTCGTGCCCAGCCAGCTCTGGGCCTGTCCCCACCCCGCCGGCCCAGGGAAGGGCCTGGGCCCTGCCCTCCCGAGGGCTGTACCTCCGGCCGGCCACTGCCCCTCGGCCCGGAGTGGCCTGCCAGTGCCGGGCCCAGTGGCTGCAGCAGTGCCGTCACCTCCTTCCTCCCCAGCAACAGCCAGGCGGGAACCCGCGGCCAACCCCGCCCCCACCCCCCGCTGGCCCCGCCCCTGGAGGCGCTGCCAGCCCCCATCCCACCCCCACCCTTGGCTGGGGCAGGATGCACCGCCCACGGCCAGGCTTCTAGGAGGCGGGCCGGGCACAGCCAAGCGGGCAGTTCTGAGGGCAGCAGCGCCAGGGCAGGTGACCTCTCCCCCTCCTCCCTAAAACAGGGGTCACAGGGTTCTGCAGGTGAACCCGTGCACCCCTGCCTGCCTGTGCCCGCCATGCTCCCCGTGCCAGAAGGGAGCTTAGCAGGGCCAGGTGGGCAGAAAGTGCTGGGTCAGCAGCAGCGTCGTGCCGGGGCTGGGGCTTCTTGGTGGGGTGATCCAGGGCCTTAGCACAGAGCTGCCTGTCCAGCCTCAGCTGCTCACCCCCAGGGAAGGGGCGCTCACTGCCCTCGGAGGCAGGTCAGGAAGGCTGGGTTGCCCGCACCACCAGCACTGGACAGCGCTCCTGACCTGTCTGCCCTCCAGAGCTCCCAGATCCTTCTGTTTCTGGGCGAGACATCCGTGAGCCTCTGGCTTTTCCACTTCACAGCGACCAGCTTCCCAGGGCAGGGATGCCTGCCTCCATTTGACTGTTGGGGGCACCAGGGCCCAGAGAGGGGAGCCAGCTTGCCTCGGGTCACACAGCGAGCTAGTGGGGGAGCCAGACCAAGCCTGCAGTCAGACAGACGGAGTGGGGCCTCAAGCTAGGTCTAGGGCGTCTGGTTTGCGCTCAGGCAGAAGATGCCCAGAGGAGACGTCCAGAGGAAATCTGGAACGAGTAAGTACGTCCACCTCTGACTGTGCAAAGAATCAGAATAGGTGCTGATGTAAAATAGGACCTCCTCCTCCCACTGGGTCAAAGAAAGTATTTAAATTTCTGTCAGTGAACAAAATAGTAATGCCAGCTGCTAATACAGGGAGTGATAGAGGCACGATACTGCTGTGATTAATACAGACAAATATGTGTGTACTTATTCCCACTGGGCTGTCCAACTGTCTTACTGCCAATTTGTCTGCCCTCTACATTTACTGAGCACCTACTGTATGCAAAGAACTGCAGGGAGACCCAGAGGCAACTGTGACCCATTCCCTGCCCTAGAGGGCCTCAGGGTCCAGGAAGAAGATGGAGGCAGGGAGGGGCAAGGCGACCACGAGGCTGGCTGTGTTGGGGGGGTGGTCCTGAACAAGCTGTTCTTCTTTCCAGCAGAAACCCAGGAGGCCATCTCGGAGGAGGTGGCTGGGGGCTCTGGCCTATGTGCTGTCGCCATCATGGGGACAGAGACTGTCACTCACCCCCCCTTGGCCTCTCTGGAGGAAGGCTGGCTCCACCAGCACATGGCTTCCTGGGGCAGTGCTGGGGTCCAGGGCAGAGAGGACAGCAGCCCGGTCACTCAGCAGATGGCAGGCTTGGCCTTGCAGCCCGAGGCAGGGGTGCCCTCCCTGGATGGGGTGAAGGACAGGTCAGAGAGGGCTAGGAAGGCGCATGACCATGTCCTCCTCAGACCCGTAGACACGAGATGCCCAGGCGAGGGACACAGTAGTCACTGCAGCCCCAGGACAGCAGCCGAGGCAGCCCGGACCTCTCTTGCCCTCTGCTCAAAGACAGGCAGCTGTTGCAAAACTGGCCCAAGCAAGCGGGCAGCACAGTCCCCCTGGACTTTGGACGAGGGGTGGTGGCTGGAGGGCTGGGCTTGCCTCTGGGTCAGCGTTGTAGGATTCGTCATCGATTGGGTGCTGCTTGGGTCTGGAAGAGGGCCACAGGTCAGGAGGTGGGCAGGCTCCAGCTAGGGGCCCTGGGCCAGGGTCCTGCTGCCGGGCTGCTGCGCCATCTGGGCTGGTCTCCCCTCGAGGAGCCTCTTTCCCCATCTGGGAAGCAGGGACTGGAACCCCCGGGCTGTCAGTTTCAGGGAATTTTTGTAAGTTTCTCTGCATGTTATTACCAGGCCTGAGACACCTCCTTCTGGCCCAGACTGGCCCTCTCCACAGCCCCGGCCAGCCCTCCACACCCACCTGCTGGCCAGGCTCCCAGGGCAGAGGGAGGCGTCTGCAGGCCGCCCTCTGACTGGGCAGACGTCCAGGGTGGAGCAAGGGGACTGGCCAGAGGAGGAGGTTCCTCCTCGGAGCTCTGCGTGTGGCCCTGCAGAGGAGGGACATTAAGTAACCAGCCAACAGTACCTGGCCACATCTGACCCAGCCACACCTGGTACCGGCCCCATTTGCCCCTGAGCCTTGCCCCAGGGCACACCTATGGGGGGGGGGCGCGAGGGGGGCCAGCAGTGTGCTGAGTGCTTCGTGTGTGTCATCTCAGGGGAGGGAGGAACACTGTTGCCCATTGTAGAGATGAGAAAAGCAAGACAGGACACGGCTAATGGGCACCAGACCCGGGCAATTCATGGACCAGGGAAGTTTCCAGAACAACTGTTGAGGGCTGCATTTGCACTGCCAAGATTTTATTTTTCCAATAAGAACCTTAAAAAAAAAAAATGACATCAACTCCCTGCCCATGCCTTTGTGAAGACAATGTTTTATTATCTGGGGGTAAGTGGTGGTCCTTCCAGAGAGGCAGGTGGGTGCCCCTCCCCCTAGACGCACATGCCGACGGCAGGTGAGGACGGCTGCGGGCTGCAGCCACCTGGGCCCTACCTCCACGCACACACAGCGGGCGTGGGCAGCTGCGTGCCAGGGCCTTGAGGCTCCCACTTCACTCCGTCATTTCTTTCCAACGTTATTTGTGATGGAAACAAATGTAGGGCTGGAACTGGTCACTCTGGCCGCTGAGCCCGTGTGGGCGGGGCCCGCACCAAGATCCAGACAGCAGGGGAGAATGGGCCTTCCCAGGAAACATCGTCCCCTGGTGGCCACATGTGAGTATGACGCCCCCGGGAACGCTGGACCCAGAGACTGGGGATG